CCGCGGTCGCGATACTTCTATCTTCTTCTCTTCTTTTTAACAAACCGTCGTCGCCCGGTAACCGACAGTCGCGCCGATCGCGCGCCGTTCACGCGGCTCCCGCGACACATACGCGGTGACCCCCGCGTAACAATATATATATATATGTATATTCTATTTTTTTTTTTACCCAAAAGACACAAATAATGTCCTATCTAAAACTTCGAAACAATATATATACATATATAGAGAAGTTTTTATCAAAATTTCTGTAAAACATCCTTTATTTTAATTGCATAAATACGCCGCATATTTTGACGTTTTTAGTGTTTTTATTTTGACTAAACAAACCGAATAACTAATAAGAACTTGTTTTTGTTGGCATAATGCATGCCGAATAATGCGTTGTGATGTAACGTTAGTTTGTAATATATTAACGTGATTATAAGATATCGGTTAACTATTACTTACTACGCTTGTTCTGCTCGCTTTGAAGTTATTGTGCGCGTTAATCAAGTTTGGACAGCGCTTCGGTGCCATTAACTTAATTTATCTCCCGCCGCATCGCTGACGCAATCATTTAGTTGTTACGCATCGGATCATGAAGCAGTTTTCTCCCTCGAATAAAATGCGTTTGCGTATACCTTATCGCGCGTATATAAAAGAGCAGACGTTAGACGATCGCGCACTTTAACGAGGCTTCGAAAAGCGTCATTCCGGGAAATTGCTAATCCCGAAACGTCAACGTAACACGTGATTCATACTGATCGTAAGTTCCTTACGATCGCGTTCACGAGCGTTGTTTTGTTTCTCTGGAACAATTTTATCCGAGGTTGATGGTCTTATATCTGCAGCCGGAATCAAAGCGGAAGAGACAAATTTAACGTGTTCATGTGAGGTTTATAACAATTTTCATAGTACAGAAAGCATCAAAAAATCACATTTGCATATTTTGTTAGAAAAATATTTATCTCGACGAAATAAAACTATCGCACTCGTGATACATCTCGCGGATTTGTTTTTGTGTTTTTTTTTCTGACTGTTGTTAACAAAGGATATAACGGGATTTCGGATCGAGTGGAATTCAATCTACCGTGCCGAAAACCGCAAAACCGCAACCTTCATTTAGATTATAGGTAGGCCGGGGGAATAGGGCAACGTTGATCCATTATTGTCTGCTGTGGAACTTCCGTAAACCGCTGCGTCGACGAGTTAATAGGATAATGCGCTTCTTAAGAAGAGGAGAAAATCAAGAAGAGCGAAAGTTTCCGCGTGAAATTTTCCTAAATCACAGTTCCGTAACTCTTTTTTGCGGATTGCGATGTAATCCGATTTGACGTGGCTCACGTGACGAGATTTGAAATAACACGAAGTAAAAAGTTACCTAACTGCACTGAGTCGTAATTTAATCCATCGAGAGTGACACTGTGACAGTAAAAGTGAAAAGTGTGTTTTTTTTCGTTGAGTTCTTTTTTTTAGTGGAATTAATTTGAGTCTGATATTGACCGGTCCTCTCTGTTGCAGATGAGAAATGCCGCGCAAATTAGAACTGCTTCTTGTAATTTAGATTCGCGTCCATTAGACAAATAACTTCGACGAAATTCTTTTTCGCGTACAATTGAGCTTTCCTTTTCGAGACGCTCGTATTCGCTAGATTAGAAAGTTGAAGAATTTCTAAAGGTTGCTCCGAGAGAGCGAAGAAATTTTCTATATAACTCAAGATTGCTTTCGAAGTACGAAGCTGATTTACCCGCTCGTCTTTTTCTTAAGATCTCGGAAGACGTGCGAGATGCCGAAATGAAAAAAAAAAAAATAAAAACGAGATGACACGACGTGTTGCGGCGTTTTCGCAACGAGATTTTTTATTTAATTACATCGCATATGTTTTTCCCGACCGTAGAGAAAAGAAGATGTCACGTATTTTTCTTGACGCGAAAATTTTTGGCTCTTGTAATTCGAGCATTCATAGTGGACACTTGTGGCTTTTATATGTTCCAATTATACTGTGACAATCGATCGTTACGATAAAACGAGAGAGAGTTGCTGCGACCTTTAGTATTACATAAAGTCAATAAGCTGCTCGATATATTTGACGACGTATTTAAATAGAACTATAATATTTCATTGAAATGTACTTTAATTGAATCGTTGCGTACACGATATATCAGTTTTATATATTTCAATATAAATTTCGGATATCTATTTCCCGAGAAAATACACGCACACGTAATTGAAAAAAAAATTCACGTAGATTTCGAACGTTTCTCGATGTTAAAAGCTATTTTTACGAATATTTTTTAAATCGTGTATATATATATTTTGGTTTCGACAAAACAGCTGGAAAAGGATTGAAGATCCAATATATAGCTTTAATCTCGAATATATCGAATATTGCATCTCTGTACCATATGGTATTCGATATTTCTCATATCGATGTGACTCTTGTCAAGTATGATAAAGATTTAGAATACGATCTATCTCTCTTTCTGCAATGTTATTTTAAGAAAAATCAATTTTATATACGTACAATAGTTGTTCTTTTCGCAATAACAGACGTCTACGACAATGATTGGAAAATTATCGGAACAATGAACATGTGTTTCAGCGACTACAATTCTAATGAGCCATGGAGGGTAGAAGGCGACACGGACGAGAGAAACGAGAAGGCGCGAAAGGCGTATCAGGCCCTGCTCACGGTGACGGCGCGTACTCCGGACAATCTGGAGTATCTGAATTTTTCGCGCGAAGTCAAGTCACTGGCTCAAAGCAAGTACAACTTCACCTTTGGCAACAGCTCGGTTTCTACGTTCGTGACAGCGTTTTACGACGCCGTGTTGCTTTATGCCCTCGCACTTAAGGAGAGTTTGCCAGAGAAGCCAGGTGAGGTCAACCTAGACGGCGGTAACCTGACTCGAAGAATGTGGGGTAAAAGTTTTAAAGGTAGGAAGTCAGAAATTTTTTTTCTATATATTTTCTTACATTCTCGAAACTCATTTCCTGCGCGTCGGTCATTTGTTTACACCACCTCTTTACCACCTCTAATAAAAGTGACGTTAATGAAGACAAGTTATAGAGAAATCCCACGGACGTTAATTAAGTTGATTTATTATGCAGAATTAATTAAACACACACATGTTAAATCTTAAATGTAACGAGGTTGTTTTATTATTCGATTTTTAAAATCGAATGAGTATAAGGAATAATTAGCACATAAATTTTTAGTAAAACATATCCGGTTTAAATTCCCAAAGAGTTTACAGTAGATGCTTCTACCGGGAAAAATATCGCGTTACGCGTTGTCGGTGATATTTATTGCATTGAACGTTGCATCACGTCGATGAGAGATCGTTTGTAATTCAAATCGACAACGCTAACCCTTCAATAAATTCTCGCAAAAAAAAAAAAAAATAATAAAAACTGAATATTGACCATCAATGCTGGAAAAAAAAACGATAAGTGATAGTGTTGCGAGACTTAGGAAATATCAAATATACGTCGTTGTTGATTAAATGTTTTTAACACCGTTGCGAAAGTACAATTTATTTGTTTAGACAATTGATTACTTGATAAATTGTCACTGTACATACAACACTCACAGTGTTTTTGTATTTAATTTTTATAAATGATATACTACTGCGAGATTGATTTACGTGCCATCATTATATTTTTCTCTCTTTTTTCTCTCTAGATATTTTTTTTTTAACCTAGAGTGTAGTAAATTTATTTATTCATTTATTCATTCATTCCTGCTTTTTTTTGAATTTTGTTCAAACGTTTCATTTTTATTTTTAGCGTACGTGCTAAATCGCATGCTAATTTAGCATACGCTCCTTCGTGCATTTGTTTATTTGCATTTTTGCTGAATTGAAAACAGTTCTCTCTTGAAATAATTTTGCAATTACATTATTAAGTGAATTTAATTAATTAAAATATTGTTCTATTTACAGAACACTCTTTATTATTATACCTATGTAAACTAGACGCTTGTGTTTTTACGAGTGAAATACAAAAATGCAAACACTTGATCTTTGCTTTGGTTTTACGTCTCATCTTTCAAGCAATCTCTGAAGTATAGTTCACTCTGTTATATTGCGCTATTTTGTCTCGACCTTCGATGCTCGCCTTTTCTTTCCAAGGAAGCCTTACTTACGACCGATACTAGCTTGCTAGTGATATCAACGAGAACGCGAGATTGTCAGTTTACTTTGTATTTTAATGTATCCAACGATGCTTTTTCATCTCTCCCGCTATTTTCTCCCGCATACAGAGCTACGTACTGACTGTTGCATTTTTATCAGCTATTTCCCCGAGCGGAGCTTTTCGAGAATTGATAATTTTGTCTTTCCGACCACGTAACCTTGTATTCTCTTTTTATCCGAATCTTTATCGGACTTATCGCAAATGCACAATGATAATGTTTATTTTCGTGTAATTACAAGTCACTTCAATACAGGTATAACCGGGGACGTGAACATCGACGAGAACGGCGATAGGATTGCGGATTATTCCCTCTTGGATATGGATCCGGAAACTTCCAGATTCGAAGTAAGACCTCGAGATCTCATAACTACGTACGTTTGAACTTATATTACCCGACATCCGATTAGTAGCACTAGTTGAAACAATTTCAATCGCGTTGTATCGACAACGATAACGCGATTTTTGTCAAGTTGAAACTGAACAGCAAACGTAAACGACGGTTATTTCTACGCGGCGTTTTGTTCTATCATCAAATGGTAGTTGTTTATTTTACGCTGCATTTTTCTCTTTTGTGGTTTGTTTGAATTGTAAAAAATATCGATTGCGCAGATAGTGGCCAATTATTACGGCGCAAATAAAACATTGGAATACATTCCTGGCAAGCAAATTCACTGGGCCGGTGGTCGTTCGGAGCCGCCGCCGGATACACCTACTTGTGGATTCGACGGATCGTTATGTCCTGATAAGTGTGAGCGAATACTGCTTTGTTAATTTGAGTAATAAATAATTAATGACGCTTATGTAACCATCTAGTGTAATAAATTGCGCGCACTAAGAGACGTTCGTCAAATATTTAGATTTTTGTCGCACCGATTGTATTTGGTTGTTGAACATCGTCGGACAAAGAGAGACTATTAAGAGACATGTCTTTTACATGTATGTTAGTTTATTGTGTAAACGCACTCTTACATATTTGTTGGTTTTTAAATGACTTTTCTTTGACCAATAACGACACGATCTTATCGAGCATTCTAATATAATCAGCGCGATAAAGATCCGAAAATCACACGTTTATGCATCGAGAAGTGAAATCAACATCTTTTTTTTTTTAAGTATATATGTTTATTATATAGATTACTTGTGAAAAAGTAAATATATGTATACTATGATTGGATGGTAGTCGCTCTTTTCAATGAGGCGGAAGTTTTATCGTATAATTATGTTGGTGTACTTCTCCGCGTCGATTTTCCCGATCGCACAAAGAGCGACTACTCGCAAAGTATAATATTTTCTTTCATTTAAATTACTAATGTTCGACAGCTCTCCCGGGATACGCCATTCTGTCGATGGTATTGAGCTCCATCCTGGTCGTACTTGTCCTCGGTTCGGTATTTATTTATCGGTAAGTGAAGTTTATCCCTTTCGGGGAAGAGAACGGTTTTATCATCACATTTTTTGCGCGCAAACATGTTTGCGTTAAACAGGAATATAAATATTGTTCGATTGGTACAAGCAATGATTTGAATATCGTTTGAATAATCTACAAGCTATTCAAATCGAATGAATATACTTCGCGAAGGATATAGGAAAAGATAGAATCGGTGCAACTTTAATGAAGAGAGAGAAAGAGAGAGAGAGAGAAAGAGAGTGGGACGAGTAACTTTCATTTGAATTATTTCAACTTGTACTTGTTCTCATTTGAATTATATGACAGTTTAATGCATCTCTCTCATGTTTTGGTTGCAGAAAATTAACAGAATTAATTTTAATGGAAATTTCGTTTGCTTGTATATGAGTTTGTATATTCGCTAATTAATTATAATGTTTACGTTTATAAATAAATACTCACAGATTGCACAAAATATATTCGTAAGTGTTGAATAAGTGCAGAAGTTTTGATGAATTTTGTAAAAAAGAAAAACAGACCAAGTAATTTTATTAAAAATTTACTGTAATGGAAACTAAAAATATGATATAATGGGAGGGAAGTGGCAAATACGAGGCAAAAACCAGATCTTTGGGTCACAAATTTCTTTATTTAAAAATATTATTTTAACAAACGTTAAAATACTTCCCTTCTATTATAACATTTCACGAGGCAGAATAAAGAAGTTGAAACTATGATTTTTTCCTATAAGTACTGTCATAAGATGCTGAATCATTCATCTTTAAGAAATCTGTCAAACCTTTTACACTTAATATATTTCACACTGACGTATTCAGTGAATAATGCGGGTTAATTGGCGCAAATTCATGAACGGGAGAAATGTCGTTCGTCATCTTTTCGCTTCCACGCGAGAAAGTAATACTGATAGGACTTCGAGCAAAGCGCTCGTTGAACACACACACACACACACGCGCGCGCGTGAAAACGTGTTTAGGTGAAGCTTCTCGGCTTTTCTGAGCACGAAACGGTTAAAAGGAAACGGAGAAGAGGCTAAGAAAAGCGGAGGATAGGCGTGGACGTGAAGACGCCGAGACACTTATCCGCGGTGAAATTTCTCGCAGATGCTCCTGGTTAATCGATTTATACTATCTGTCGACTCTGCTTTACGCGATCTCAACAAATGTCTTCGGTCTCTTCTTGTGGTTTGTCGGCCACGAAAATGTCGCACAGAGACGTCTTTTCAAACAAACCGTTTTCTTTTATTTCGACGACGAGCGGATCAATTACGTCGTTACAAAACAATCTTACAAAACATTCTCGTTGTAAAGAGAGACATAATAAAAACCCATTCTTTCCGGATGAATTGAAATAAGTACATATATACTATAAAAAAAAGTCGAGCGCGTTTAACGATCTTTTCGCGATAAGTTTTACTGCTCCCGCCCTTCGATTTCACGATCTTTTTTCTCGGTTTATCGAGCACTTCATTATAACTTGATTTTACACGTGCCTTATCGCTCTGCGTGATCTTAATCGAAGACGCAATACAGACGCGATTTTGCAACTTAAGATCCGCACATTAAAATCTGTTTGACGAAGCAATACTGTCGTCCCTTTTCGAACAACATGTCGAGTGTTACGATCACATAAAATTTTCTTAACATCTTTAAGAATCGAAGTTCTGCTTCGCGACAAAAATACTTCAAGAAATATCCGAAGAACCGAGTTATTTCCGTTTTCTATTCGGGTCAATTTAATTTGGTCGACATTGCTATAAGCGCGCTGTGGAAGCTTCGATAATGAGTTACTGTCATAATTATTATAGCACGTGCAAGCGAGTTTGTTTTATCGCGTTTCGGAAGACGAACAAACTGGAAAGGGAGAAAAGCGGTCATCTGAATTATGCAAAAGATACTTTGTCTTTTGTTTAGAGTAGAAAATAGCCGTTAAAACGAGCAGAACTTCGCGATTCAAACTCGAACGACTTCTCTCTGTGGTTAAGTTTATACGTGCGGTTGTTATAAAGGAAATTATATATCGTAGATAGAAACAGGGAAGAAGAGAGGACATACATCACTCTTGAAAGTCAAATACCGCATCTTCAGCGTAACGTAAACGCAGATGAAACTCCGCTGAACAAGAGACATACTTGTTACACTCTGAAGAGAATTTCCGTCTTAATAGTAATCTAAAACTGGAACTCTATGCGAATATTTCGTCGTCGATGTCTCTTTTTACATTGCAAGACTAAATCTATCACAATTACACGCACACACACACACACACACACACACTTTCGCGTACGAAAACTATCGAATTTTATCGTCTCATATCCAATTTAATGGATATCAAATAACGTGTATATTTATATTTGGAAAAAAATTTGATAAGAAAATGCATTCATTCAAGTTGCAATATCAATATAATCAAAAACTCGTTGGGAAGTTTGTCGATTGAAAAGTAACAATGTTGATGACGAACGATTGCGTTCCCGCGTCCGGCAATTTCGTTCTCCGCTCCCGGACATGACTACGCACGGTAACTTTCGAATGAATACATCGAACTCATTTAGTTGCAGAAATTCCGTGTATGTATATAGTATATATATTATATGTATATACACGGTAGCCTTTATATGTATATGCGGGGTAGTATCCCGCACGGGATACAACTAGATAGGCATGTGGTTATGAGATACGCCGGCACGTAATTACCTCTTGCGCTGTTGAATGCACGCATACACCCCGAACAGGCAACCGAGCGAGGCTCGCGCGCTCTGACTTCGAACTCGCTCTCATCGTACGTGGCGTTCGCGTACAACACATCTATCGCTCGCGGATAATATCGGCGATGAGACACGCTGCCGAGCAGCGGATTATGCATATAGATGCGCATGCAGATTTACCGAACTGATTAATTGCGTCTTTGTGGCGAATGGAAAACGCCGTGAAAATATTTCCGTTGCACGGGCATGCGATAATTGCATCGTTGATAAAAAGGATCTCGTTAATCAGCGGGAAACGTCACGCGCGATGTAGCATTCTTTGTTCGGGGAAAAGATAATGCGCCGCGCGTTGCCGCTCGGAATTAATATATGCCGCATGTTTAAATACGTACATTTACGTACGTACGCTTAAGCGCGCAGTTTATCACGCGCGGTCCGCGGAAGCAAATTGCGTAAAAAAAAAAAAAAACCAACAAAAAAACAAAAAAGAAAAGAATGTTTAATCCGCGCCGGTGAGTAAGTTTCTTCTCGCGGAAGAAACGATCCTATTTGGAACGCGATAATACCGTTGTTTGTTTGTTTTATGTTTTCTTTCAGGCGCTTCAAACTGGAAGCGGAAATTGCCTCTATGACGTGGAAGGTGCACTGGGATGACGTAATTGTAATGCCGAACGCAAAGACGAGAGGCTCCATGTACTCCCTGATCGCAAACAAGTTCCGCGGCAGCCAACTGGTAAATGCACAAAAAAATAAAATTTTCATTATTACACGCGATACAATCTCACGATTCAATCATCTGTAATCTCGAGAAACGGGTAATATGAGCGTATCTTCGAGTAAATAGCCGAATTAAAACTGCTCGTAAGCTTGCGAGTAAAAATGAAGTTAATAAAAGCGACGATCAAGTTTTCGTTTGATCGTTCATTTCAATCGCGTTGGCATTCGTTTCGATGGTACTGTCCGCGAAAGAACGGTGTTCGCATCTCAGGCGGAGGATATATATGTATATATATATATATATATATTTTTTTTTTTTTTTTGAAAAGAAAAGGGAACAATGGTGGGCTCGCGAGTAGCGCGCTTTACCTACTTCCGGAGGCACTTGGAGTAGAGGCTATAAAGAAGACTTTATTCTATTGTACGTTTATTCTGTTGACGCATTCCTTATCATTTCTTTCTTCATGTAGCGTTACCCTGCAAAAATGAACGGAGAAAGCCAGAATCTATCCTTATCTAGTTAAAAAATCTTTTCGTACCTTTATTCTTTCTTTTTTGCTTAAGAAATAAATGATCAAAGGAACATATTTCGCGTTTAGCTTTAGTTTTTCATACTTCTTTCGTTACTAGAACAACACAGGCGCGCGCTACGCGTACGTTATTATTGTTTTTATTTTAACGTGTAGTGTCAGTGAACACCTGTCACCGCGATGACAGCTAGTGTAATACGTCTTACAAATCATATAATACGCATTAGAGAAATGTCAGAAATAACGCGCATGAAAATCAAAATCAAAACATAGTGAGAGAGAGGAGTGGAAAAACAACACGTTTTTAAAAATACGTGACTAAAGTATAGTCACGTGACTTTAGTCATGTGTTGTTTTTCCACTTTTCATTATCACGTAACACTTTAGTTACGTTTTTAAGGACACGCGCAACGAAGTCGCGCTGAGAGACAGTACCGTGCCTCTTGATTCGTATGACATGAATCGAGAAACACATCCGAGAAACGTTCAAATTAGCGTCGAGATAAAAGCGGCAACAATTAAGATCGATAGAATCTTCTGATAGGATATAAAATAATTCCTGAACCTTTCGATTCCAATTTCCTCTTTGATCAATTTGCAGTCAAAACTTTTGTTTAATTCAAACGTCAAAAACGTTAAGAGTAATTTTTAAATTACTGTGATGAGTTTTCCACGGACAAACGTTTCAACTACATATTTAATAAACGGAGAGGGAAAAAAGGAGAAAAAAAGAGTAGTGTGCTGTTACTCAAAGATAAGTACAATTACAAAAGCTTTGTCCGTTAGTCTGAAAAACTCAATAATTAAGACATTCAATTTTCCAAGTTTTATCAAGAAAAACGATTCGACGAGAAAGTTTTGTCAAAAAATCTGTTTTTACAGTTTTATCTCTAATATGGAATTTTTTGAGATATTTTGCGCGATGGACGCTGTTTGAAATTCATACATCGCGCAAATACTTACTTAAGGATAATCTTTGTTCCAGACGATCTATTCCGAGGATAACGCGAGCATGCCGGACGTCGAAAGAAATGTGTATGTTCCGACAGGATTTTACAAGGTTAGCTTGAATATACAGTTTAGTTTTTATTTTGTAAAGGTACAGTTTTTTTTTTTTTTTTGACATATAATCTTTATTAAAAAAACCGCGCGAGATTATTATCAATCTCGCGTCGGATGTAACATCAGAAAAACTGGGGATAAATGAACCGCACAATATTCCTTATACCCGCGATAAATCCGTATATATTGCGAACAAAAAAGTGTATTCTCCGAGTTATTATCGTGCAACGAATTTTCCGCTACTAATAAGATTAAGTGTTGATGTCTATTATCCTCGGTCACAGAGACTATGATCCGAGTTCACAGTCGTTTCTCAAATCTTAGATCTCGTCTCCAATATCAAATTTCAGCTCTCAGATCTCGAATCTCCAACCTCAAATTTAAGTGTAGTTGCTAATCATGATAATCGGTTTTTCTGGATTATCTTCATTAAATAAGATAAATAAGATAATTATAATACTTAAATTCATATAGGATGCTATATTTGCAAAACATATATAAAAGATCCCGTATACCTCCCTACCTAATTTTGAAATATTGCGAACAAAAACAAACATCCAGCATATGGCCTTAATTATCCAAACATTTCACGTTATTTTTACTATTATTTACTTTAAATGTTATAATTATTATAAAAAATATTATTTAATTTGAATACTACTATCTGATCCAAATACTATTATCTAGATAAGATACTATTCTCTAGAAAAGATAATATTATTCAAAAAAGAGAGGTAACAATATTGATGTTTATGTTGTACGCAATAATCATTTTCTTGTAGCGCGAGACAACAAGTAGTGGAAAGTAGTTTTCCATCATATTTTTTCTGACAAAGTGTCTTTTTAATATCCCGTCTTATTTCTGAAAACAAAAAATTTGTGTCGTTGCACGATTAAAAACCAATCAAAATTCATCAATATTCAACGTATAGATTGAATTTGTATCTTTACGCGCGCAAGATTGAGGACGGTATATAGGTTTTTTGTACAAACAGTTTCTCAGATAATAAAAAAAAAAAAAAAAAACAGTAAATCTGCCAATCAATAATTCTCTCTACCGTGTAAATTGCAATACGTTTCAGAACTCGAAAGTTGCTATAAAGCTAATACCCAGGAATAAAGTGGAAATCTCAAGGCCTTTGTTGCTAGAACTGAAACGGGTGAGTAACAGACTTCGCAAATAACGTGTATACATGTTGTGATATATTTATTTTAATTTTTACTAAATGTACTCTATATTGGAATGTTTCTCTCTACATTTTTCTTGACGCGTAAACAATTCTCATTATAAATGTCTATCTTCTCTGTTTTCTGTTCTCTTCGTGCACCGGTATTGCATGTAATAGACTGTAATTTATATGAGTGGTGATGTTGGTAACTTTCGCAGATGAAGGATCTTCAGCACGATCATCTTGTACGATTTTACGGTGCTTGTCTCGAGCCGCCTCATTGTTGCCTTCTAACCGAATACTGCCCCAAAGGATCTCTTCAGGTAAGTTGTAATATAGTTCTGCATCTCAATAACAAAGTTTCGTTCAACCAAGTGAAAATCAATCGGCCAGTACTAAATATGAAAAATAGTAAGAAATCCCAAAGTAAAAAAATAATTTTTTATCTTTTGTCACGCAAAAAAGAATTTAGATAAGCTCGAACTATCGGTGTGGTTTCGGTATTAAGTACTGTTGTTGTTGGAAACAAATACGTGCAGTGTGTGTGTACTTAACTTTGTGTGCAATATCGTGGCTCTATTGGTAAATAATATTGGAAACAATACGACACACACAGATACGCGTCGTATTTAGATAGATGCAGTAATGTTTGAGAAGGAATACGTACTGACAAGCAAGCGCACGAATACCCATTAATGCACTCTTTTGTATACGTCGTGTTCTCTATAAGAAACAAAAGCGCTTTATTTTATTGTACACCTGTCCTACCTTATAAAGCAACTTTAAGTAGCCGATCAAAATATTCCGTTTTCTTCGCTTTTTCTCTCAAGTTGCAATTTTGAAATAGCACAGGAAAGTAATCGTAATTTCGAGCAAAGAAAAATAAGTCTTAATGTTTAAATCGATCAAAATATATTCTTACTTTTATGATTTAATACTTTGTAAACTTAGTTCGCAATTTTAAATGTTCTTAATTGTTTTCTTTACAAAAAAAGTGTATTTTTTAATCTGTACTTTGTCAAAGAGAGAAAATATTGTACGAAATGATTCATATAAGATATTGTTTGTACATATGTATATTATGTTGTCGGCATTTATGCAACAATATATTGAATATTACGCAATATTTTTGTACCAATTCAATATATATATATGTATATATTGAATCAAGCAAGAGAAACAGTTGAACTCTCGATCGAGATTAAGCTTGTATACTTGATATATTGTCGCGCGCTATACCGCATCGTATAATCCTTTGCTTTTGGACAGGATATACTCGAGAACGAGCAGATACAGCTCGATCGTGTGTTTCGAGGATCCCTCATACACGACATAGTCCGCGGCATGGCGTATCTTCACGCGTCGGAGGTGAAGAGTCACGGAAATCTCAAGTCCTCGAACTGCGTGGTCGATTCTCGATTTGTTCTAAAAATCACCGACTTCGGTCTGCACGAGCTTCGAAGGACGAGCACCGAGGATGCGGACGTCGATAGGAACTGCTACGCTTATTGGAGAAGTACGTGTTTATCGATTAAATATGTACATATATTACATGTTTGTGAAAAAAACCTACATAAGCTCGTGTTTTTTTCGCGCGATATCGATATTTTATTGTAAAAAAAAAAGCTATATTTGTCGCAGCAAATATTTTTTAAGCGCTTGAGAAGAGAAAGAGAAAATTCGCGATATAGAAAGCAAAGAAAGAGATGATATTTAAAGTAAACGTACAGCTTCCTGTTCGCGATCGAACTATTTACATTTATACTGTTATTTCATTGCAACAATGCATATCGTCATTTATCAATAATATAACGGTGTACCGCCCGGAAGCACTTATTTATAAGTATTGATTCATACACGTCGTTGAAGCGCTAAATGCAACAAATATTTTTATTTCAACGAATTTTCTTGTTTCGTCGAAATATTTGCATTCGACGTAGGAAAAAAATAACTAATGATCGCGGATCGAATCGAGATCGAAACGCGTAGCTTTGAATTTTTTTTCTGGAACAGAAAATTCGATATTTTACAGAACAGTTGTGGACAGCTCCAGAATTGCTGAGGATGGAAAGGCGTCCGCCTGAGGGCACTCAGAAAGGCGACGTATACAGCTTTGCTATAATCGTTCACGAGATCGTGATGCGCCAAGGGCCATTCTACTTAGGAGTCAATAACGATCTCTCTCCAAAGGGTGAGTCTTTAACGTCATTCGAGAGAGCGAATCCCGGATACATACAATTGCCTCTTGTTCGTGCTTTGTTCAGCTCGACAACAATGAGATTTCGCGAGCAATAATGGCGTTGCGTTATTCTTTTTTTTGTTTGCTTGTGCATAACGTTACAATTATTTCAAACTAAAAGCAGGAAAAGTAAAAATAATTGTGTGCGTTTGCGACGGCGTTTATACATTGCAAAATCATTTTTAATTGCTTGTAATAATTTATCAGAAAAACTTCGAAGACGAATCTTCTTTTTAATGAAGATTTTTATTTCTGAAGTGTTAATACCATCACACGATTTTTATTTAATTTTTGTAATTTAAATTGACAAAAATAAGATTTAAATGAAGATTTTTTAACAAACTGAAGATAGAAGTAATAAATTGTACAGAAGTAATAAATCGGTCATAAGAGAACTTAAAACGAGATTCAAACGCAACGATACATTATTTAATATAAGACTGAACAATTTTAACGTTTTGATCCTCGCTTTAAATTCTTCTTAGAAAAAAGTTGACAAAAGTTGACACTACAAAAACAAACATACGCAAAACAAACGCGAATGCACACAAGAAAGTGTAGAGTCCGGAAGCATCGAAAAATATTTTTCTCTGAAACGTTAAATTATTGTTTAGTTTTTTGTTAACAGATGTATTGTTGCGCTTGAATTTCTCTTGCATCGCGGGACAAGTTTAAATATAAAAAATTCAATTAATTATTAAATTAAAATTCAGTATGAATGAAAATAATATACAAAGAGTATATATATTGCGATATTTTTTTATTTTTATAATTATAAACTCTTCTCTTGCCGATAATAATTCAGCAAGTGATAAGATCACTGTTTTATCGGCCGTTGAGTAAAATAGATCGGTGCTTGCGCGAATAAAAGCTTTGCAAAACACCTTCCTGATCTTAGAACGATGCGAGCTTTTAAGCTCAGCAGCGAGTTATCGACAGTCGATGTGGAACAGGTAATAACACACGCAAGTAGTAACAGTCTGACTTGTATCAGCCAAGTATCGGTCGCCACATTGGTGGTTTTTTTTCTAATGAAAACACTTCGGCAATGTTTATTTTGCCGATGTGGAATAATATCGCACTTTAGAGTTAGATTATATTATCCGCATTTAGATAATATCCAATCTAATTTGATCGAACTAAGAACAATAATTTTTACCGCCAAACTAGCGTTTTTTCGAAATCTCGGAAGATCGATATTATATTGCAACGGATATATTACACGCGCGCGACCGGTAACGGAGTTCTCGCAAGTTCTCGCGGACGACCGGCCGCGTGGATCGATCGTAGGATGGAATGTGTCGCGAGTATCCGTAAGAGCATGTCGAAGCGAGAACCGAAAGCTCAGTCGAAGCTCTTACGCGTCCTCGAACGCACACGGCGATCGCGCGCGCTCCGCCGAGATTTATTTCGATATCGGTTTCTCTCTCTCTTTCTCTCTCTTTCTCTCTGTTTCTCTCTTTTTCTTTTTTTTCATCTTGTTTTTTTTCAACTTTGCACATAAACTTACGCGCCCTCGGTACCGACACGTGAAGTCAACTGGCACCACTTATGTTCGAGTTTACGGCCTAATAAACTAGTAGGTGTTTTTTAATCGAAAGAGAGATCCTTGACGCGGCCGCGAGCGGCGTACTCGACAACGAAACGTGTGCGTGCCGGTGTGGTTTTTTTTTCTTTCTTCGTAATTAATTATGTGTATAATTACTCACGAACATACCGCCGGGACCTTGACGTGTATGGTTCGCGGATTAATATCTCACGTGATTTGTATGCTCGTTATTTATCCCCGGGTTAATATTCATCATTGACACACACGGATATCGATCCCGCGTACGAAAACAAAGTCTGTTACCTCCCGCACGGGTCGACGCACCTCAGCATAATATCCGCGTTACGAGCGCACGGAAGCAATTACCGCTGCGTCGCGAAACGTGAGGAAAACGCTTACGGAAATAAATCTCGGTGACCGTGTTAGAGAGGAAAGAGGCCGCTGACCGTGTTAGAAGTCCCCAGAAAATGGAGCTCCGACGGTGTTAAAGCTCTCCACCATTAAAGGAAGTAACTCACTGAACAAGTCCGAGGAAGAAAAAAGCCCTACTAAGAAAAACACATTTCCACCTGTGAGCTAAAAAAGGAGAGAGAAATTGGGGGAAAGATTCCGTCCGAAGAAGGAAAGTGACAAAAATGTAAAAACTCTAAATGATCCGGAGTAAAGTCCCGCGATAATATCAGGGAAAGTGTAGTTGTGCGACTTTCTCTTTCTCGTTGGAAACGATAGACCGCTATAATTATGTAATTTGACTAACACGAAAGTACACATTTGGGGTTTACGGCGTTTCTGATATTACGCTCCGTTACGAATATTAGCGGGAGTCGGACCATCCGTTTACCCGGATCACTGCTAGACTTTGACTTTGCCGCATCTCGCGCATTATTACACACGATTCTCCGCTTAATATCCGGCTCAATGTGTGTGTTGAAGACGGAGATCACTCGACGGGAAAGGGAGGAGAGGGAGATATCGCGTTTAGCGATCCAACGAATGATGAAACCGATCAGACGGGGACGATATTTACGCGTTTCCATCGCATTTGCCGCGCCAGTTCAACCGTTTGCTTGCGCAAGTTCCGCGTTTTTTTTTTTTTTTTGTTTTTATATTTTCGTTTTCTTCGGAAAATTCTTGTCACATCGGAACACTCTTGTTTTTTGCTTCTTGCATCGCTCTCGGGTGTTTTTATCGCTATATACTCAGTTTATTATTATGTCGCTGCTTCACAGACTTCTCATGTTTACAATAATTGCGATGCGCTTCGAGCGTTCGTACTTCAATTCTGTTGTCGTTTTATATTTCTCCTTGTCTCTCATTACTATTTCTCGTCTCTTGTTTGTGCTATATAATGAAAAACATAACAATCCGAGAATTTTTCAAAAAGAACGTTACTCTTTTTGTTTAAAACAACAAGATATATATATATATACACACAATATAATACATTAAAATTTGGAAGTAAATAATTTGTTTGACAATATTTGTTTCGGCAATATTTTTAAAATTTTTTACATCATATAGTGTTTATAAAAAATCTTCTGTGTGTTGCGCGCAGTATACTGACAATAAGCATAATATAAATGATAAAAATGTTAATATTTTTTCAAGAATATTTTCAAAATATTATATATATATATCAGATACGAAAACATTATATAATAATATCCAATATCAGCGTTAGTGAGAGATTTCAAACGCAGATCTCTTCACGCCGTGTGAATATGTACATACATTCCCCTTTATTTCCTGCGTTTGCACGGACTAATTCGCGCTCGGCAGAATCGAGGTTACGAGCGCGCGCGACTCGCAGTCATTTAATTCCGCAAGGTGTTTTCGGCAGTCGACAAAGCAGCAACGGCCGCATAAACAATCATTTGTTCTTACAAACGGTCTTGTAATCTAACGGTTGCGTATCTTGGCGGAAATATACGTCCGACTTGTCGTGTGGCAGCGATACGGGAGAAAGGTTCCGCGTATTACGAGTAGAGCAAAGTTCAATGGGATCGTTACGAAGGGGTAAAAGTAGCAAAGGGTCGGAACCCAAAGATAAAGTGGCACATATATACGCGCATGTGTTGCTTCTTTACAGTGAAATTCCGCTCAAAAAAAAAAAAAAAAAAAAAAAAAAAAAAAAAAAAAAAAAAAAAAACGACGACTGGTTGGATCTTATCAATACTTAAGATCGAAACGATCGTGTACTAGTTTGTTACCGGCTATCGTTTTTTCGTCATTACTCGCAGCAAGAAGAATTGTTCGCTTATTTTCAAGTTTATTCGCTTTTAACTCCGAAATAACGTTTTTCTGTTCTCTGTCGACTTTTTGTAACTCCCTCCCGGGGCGAGTTAAAGTCTCGGTCGTTTATTTTTGTCCAAGCAAGAGACATGCCCGAGAACGTCGACTGTTCGGAGTTTTCGAAGTATTCTCGACAGGGATAGAAATTAATTAAATAGAGTTTATGTACTCTCTTTATTTTTTTAACAGTCGCAAGACTTGTAGAAATTGAAACGCATCGAGAGATCTCGGAGAGAGCAATGACGGAATCGAAGAGTTTGCGTCTCGTCGTAAAGTCAAACAAAAACAGGATTGTTGATCGTGAAGTGATTATTAGATAAAGCTACCTAGGAAAAGGGAATGGACTGTGGAGAAGAAATCAAAGTCGTGCAAACCAAGGCCAGAGCGATACATAACTTTCTATCCAAACTTCCGTTGTATAAGTCGACTGTGATATCGTTACACGCGAGTTAAACTTTAAAACGCCCATCGCGCTTGTTTCATCCTCGAGCGCTTCGAGAAAAGCTTTAAAGAGTCATAACTTCATTAATTACGGGATTTACAGTGTAACTTACCGTAAATCGGATTAGTATGAAAATGCGATCTAGAAATATAGTCGGTACACATTTTTGTGCTCGCGGCTGGTCCTCTCTTTATCTTGAATATTTATATACAAGCTTGTTTATTTTAATAATAGAACAACTTTTTTTGTTTTGTTTTCGTGATGTGCGTATTATACTTGATGGTAAATCGTTCTAGTACATTTCTGTTTGCTTAATTGCCGTTTATTATTATAACACATTTGTGTTATGTACAAATCTCTTTGCGTGCGCGGGAATAATTTGAAAGCAATTATTAATGACGATTATATATAATTAAAACTTGAACGATTGAAATTACAAAGTGAGATTAAATAAAACGAGTGTTTGACATTGATTGTGCCGACACTTTATTTAATAAATTATTATTTTAACTCGGATTGCATATAGAAATAATGCGAGTGTTTAAAAAGAGATAACTGAAAAAATATCCTCTTGAAAGTAAAGCGTTGAACGCCTGAACGGCTTGTACAAATAGTGTTAACATACGCTTCGCTTTCTTGCATACAAAAAGACTAGAACAACTAATCTTCTCTGCATAAAATGCTTGTCATGCGACACCTGAGACACACACACACACACACACACACAAGCAAGTTTAAGAATATCAACGTGTTGAAATAACAAGATGAAGCGTAATTACGTTTTTCCGCAAAAAAATATAAATTTATATGTGCTGAAATTTCTCAAGAATTCACTCGTCAGAGAGTACGTCACGCGGGGATTTTGCAATTATAGATGTTAAATGTTAAAGATGCACAGGTCTGCGTCATGTATCGATGTAATAATAGATGCTATTACGTATACAAAGCGTGATACAACATTTATGAAGATATATCTGTACGCTTGCATATGCCGAAATTCTCTCTATATTTTTACTCCCGGTGACATATTTCCGGGGACGACATCATAAATAATTTCTCTGTATTCTCACATTTCTTCGTGATAATAGGAAAACGCTTTTCTGCTTATGAAAAAAGAAGTACGTCATATGAACGAACTTTATTAGGATTTATAACTTTATTTTTTTTTGTCGTATGCAAAACGCGATCGTACTTTTTTATATTTTTTATAATCAAAATTTACTCTGTGTGTTTTTTTTTTATCTGACCGTTGAAAGCCGCAAAGTAGTTTTGTGAGACGAAGAAATCCTCATATTCCAAAACTGAATTAGTGGAGTCACGAAAGATTCCGCGTCGTTGTGGGTACGCCGACTCGGGACTGTGAAACGACGATTCTTTTTCGAAGAATGATGCGTGTTTCAAAAGATACATAAATATATAAATACATAAATACGAGAAACATAATAAGTTGCTTAGTAGAAAACGAAAGAAGAAACAAACAAGAGAGAGAGAGAGAGAGAGAGATTCGATATCGGTATCGGGGTGAAATGTTTAAGGGCTGTCCGGTGAGGCAGTTTGACTTGTGCTTGCGCGACAACGACCGACTCGTACGAGAAGAAGAAGAAGACAGAATGGAGAGGAGTAACGCATCGAGCACAAGCAGCCTGACGTTGCCGCAGATATCGGGAGCGAGTCCCGATGGCGGTGCCAGCCCCAGAAGAGCCGTCAGTCCCCTGCTCGAGGTCCGCAGGCCTCACTGCACCCTCAACTGCGACGCTTGCAACTTGTATCTCGAGGACATTTACAGGCACAGTACGTGTACATCTTCGCAACAAGAGGACATTTAATTTTCCGTGGAGAAGATCGCGGCGATCGAATCACTCGATACCCTATCAATTATTATATCTTTCAAACATCGCGACCACCATTCACGACAAATTCATTCGAAATAACACAGTCGGTAACCTCGAGCGAAATTCTTTTATTAGAACGCTCATTATAACGTTATGATTTCTTCTCTCGATGACAAATCCCATCGCGAGAGATATTGCGGGCAATAATACGTTACATATTGATGTCATTTTCACAAAATTATCGTTAGGCTGAGCCTACTGTTCATGCACTAGTTTCACTACTTTCTAAATGAATATAAAAGCCTTTCGTAGCCTTTCGAGTCGTCGAAAATCCTTACAAGTCTTTTTTTTACCCGAAATGAAGGCTTTTATACAAAGTTGTTTTTAGTAATTCGTTTTCGAAACTATCGTGTTTGCGGGATTTCGCAAATTACGTAAAGCCAAATAGTAATTGCGTTTTCACGGTTCTGTAATTTTCTTTCGCCAGGTTTTAACAAATTTACTAATGCTAATTGTTCACGTTATTTATTTGTTTTCTCTTCAAGGTTTCTTCTGTGGTTTTTCTTACAAATGCGTAATATTGTTTGTCTATTTATATGTTATTCGAAGACTGTATTATCTCATAAAATTGAGAGAGAAGATATGCAGATATATTGAATCGAAACTGCTATATAGTCTATATATAGCGGAGTGTTTGCGAATACTTTCTCTCTTTGCGTGTGGAATATGGAGAAAATGTCAAGATAAAAATCTCTTGTAAAATACCGATTATCATTTATTTCTATTATTTGTTGCGTTATTATTTAAATTCTCTCTAAGTCAGTTTGCGCCACTAGTTTAGATAAAATTCTATAAACACGGAACTAAAAATTTATTTTGAAAAATCTAATTTCTTCTTCTGTAACAGAAATTTATTTTTGCTCAAAATATATAAATACAGATAATAAAAAATTTACCGGACACAGATAATAAAAAATTTAATTTATTTAATTTGAAATTTTTTTAACACAATTGCTAACGTTATTTCTTTTTATTTATGTTCCGACACATTCATTCTATTGAATATAGCGTTGTTTAGTACGCCAGAAAATCATTTAACCAATTCCATGATTTCCTGGAACGGATGTATCAATGTTGTATGTGTAGTACGTGTAATACAAATATATATTCGCGGACGCGATTATTGTAAATTGATCTCCTCATTCCATTGCGTTCTAATTTCTGCTTGACACGAAATTGACGCACGCTATACATGCGACCGGAAATATAAATTATATTATCGGATTATTATATGCGTGAATGCCGTTACATTTTTTGCAATCTGTTTAAAAATTATTTTCAATAAACAAATCTTATAATTTTTAAAAATCTCGAATCAATAAGCGTATTTTTTTAGATTAATTATATATATATAAATAAAGACAAACATCATATGCAATAAACTGATAAAAACGTTGTAGTCGGCATTAGGGCAAATGATTGAGTCGTACAATTTTTATAAAGGTGTTTTTTTCTAGGATGATATATCCGAACAGAGTAGTAAAACTTACTGGCGAGCGGACGAAGGAGAAAGTTCCGCGCGCTAGGCGGTCCGTCTGACGTAGGCGCTGACTACTCTACTGAGATGAGGTTGAAGTAGTTTCGCTCGATTGCGTGCGGACGTTCCAATTTCATGTAATTACAACTTTGCGGAATATTTCGCAGCGTTACGTCTGAATTGTCTTTTAACGCGTTTGCCGCGTATTCACGATCGCGGCCTCGTCACGCGATCTGTTAAATATCGATCATCTCTTTACACACAACGAGCTGATTACGTTCTATTATCGCCATTTATCGTCAGTTTTTTCTCTTTTTTTTTTGTTTTACATTGCTTCCGTGAACTCTGATATCAAAACGGTGTACTTCGGTTTTGTTGCAGAAATAGTAGAAGGCGTCAAAAGAGGCGGCGGTTCACCTTTAAGGCCCATAATCGACGAAGCTTCCGTCGAAGAAGAGGTAAATAATGACGGCAAACATTTTTAAGCATGTTCAAACTGTCTCGGCGTAATAATTGTGTTTGTGTATTTCAGTAACGCGCATATGAAAGATTTATTTATCACTGTAGAACAATCATTTTTTTATTTGCATTAGTATTTTCATCTAATAAATGTATTACACACGAAACGTGCATTTGCGCATTTTATTTTTCTCTCGTTCAAAGCTGATGTATTAGATTTCTTTTTACGACACGAGCATAAATTTTCAAGAGAGAATTCTCATTTTTATAGGTCGCTACGCTAATGAGACGATGTTGGGCGCAGGATTCCGCGGACCGGCCAGACTTTCCAGCGCTGAAGCAAACCATTCGTAAAATTAATAAGTGAGTAATTTTGCACCGTGAATTATATCGTTAGAGTCGTAAAGTCATCAACGCCTTCTCACTTCTCTCTCTATCTCTCTTTCTTTTTTCTTTCTCACTCTTTTTCCAACTTTTTCTTGCGATTTACAGCGCGAGTCTCTTGCACGCGGTTTTAATTGCGATTGAGTTGACGTTGACGTCACCGGAAAAACGTCACGTATACGCAATTTGACGGCAGACTCGAAGCCAGATCCTTGGGCAAATTTTAATGATCCACTCTCTCATTAAGCTAAAAGCCTGCGTCCGAGCGCACAGGGACATTGCTGATGTAGAGAGGCTGCGATAAAAAGAACTCGCGGTGTATTGTCCATTGAATTACTCTGAAACACCTCGATAAACCTCGGCGCAGCGGTGTAACGCGATAATACCGCGGGCAAGTACGCGGGGATTGTAAAAACTCGCGGTAACGCTCACTATCAGAAGAACACATTAACTGCATTATCCGGCTATTGTACGTCTGGCGTTATTTCCGTCCCGTTTGCTTTGCCGTTCCGGGATTGTCGTTGCGTTTTACGCTAACGTATATCGAAAGTGTCGATAAACGTGACGATACCATGATATCGGAATCGGTTTCCGTAACGCGTGTTTCTTCGCGCGTACAGAGCAAAGTCATGATTCAAGTTCGAAAAAAACGAGAATCGAGCGATCTGTGCTGGCTGCGGATCTCTGGCGCCACCGATATCGCACGTCGAACAGTGTGTGCTGTTCGTATTCAATACGACAAATTGCGGAGACCATTGTGCCGCGGCATAAAGCGTCGCTGCGGCAGCGAGAAGAGAAGCGCGGGAGTTTCGCGATATATCTCTTTTCACCGCGAGTGTATTTCTTTCTTCTTTTCGCGTAAAAAGAGCGGCCAGTAACCTCTGCTCTTTGGCCATTATATTGGCATAGTTTTCGACCTACCGCGCGCTGTGCATCATCTCGTGCTCGAGAAATCCGAAGGCACCGCCGTCGGGCTCAGGCGCGCGCGATAACTCAGTAGGTCAATTACTGCACGGCAACGAGCGTGCCGTGCGGTAATTCCGGACGCGGTCGAGCGCGCCCCGCGCGTCGTTTTAAGAAATGCGCGAGCTGTGAAAATTTTAAAGCGAGAAAAGACTTAAGATCGTGAATAAGAAAAAGGTCGAAATAGCCGTGTCATCGACGATCGATCATCCTCCGGGGAAAATTGTATTTACTTACGAGGCGCTGCTTTCTCGGAGATTTATACTATAAATCAAACTACTACTGAATCACTCTCGCGAGATTATTTTTCTTTATATAGAAAGAAAAGATCTCGTGTGTCTTTTCTAGAGAGAGGTCTCACATTTTCACGATCATTACGGATCCAAGCTTTCGCTTGAAAAAGTGTCTGACTTTAAAATTAGAGAAAGAAGTGAGAAAAGGATAGGTGCATGCAGATTTTCCTCGCTTTTGCATTTATAATTGATATATTATAAGTTACGCACATAATTTGTTCCTTTCATCTTATTTTTATCGCGCGCTAAAATTTGAGGTGTGAGTAAAAAGAATTATTTAATCTCTCGTGGAAAAAGCAAGTCAATCGACATTGGACGACATCATCTTCGATGAACGGCTGTTTCGACAAACGACTCGCACTTGATCGAGAGCTTCAGATCTCATTTATCTTTGACGCGGTTTTATCATGGTGCTCGTGAACTATTTTTTATTTTCATTTTCGACCACACTGCCCGAATGAATTGGATCGACGTGACGTTCGTTGATTGACTTTTGTATGACTTTCGCGGCTTCGAGAGACGTGCGTGCGTGTACATATTTGCAAAACTGTTATTTAAACATAGTGATATAGTGAAACACATATTTATGAAATATGTCGATTAGAAGTAATTTAATATATAAAATATTAAATAAATATTTGAGAAATATTAATTAATATTAATTAAATTATAAAATGTGTTTTTCATACGCTTGTCGAACAAAAAATATATTTCATAACTTCGAACAATTAATACGCGCGCATTTGTGAGAGATAAAAATTTCGAAGTGGTACGTGATATACATATGTGTGCGCTTGAATTAAAAACGATTGTTCGACACCTCTAATTTAACAAAACTTTGATGAACAAGAACTTCAAACGTCATATCGTTGTGACAGGATTAAATTCTGATTCGTCCTATTTGTGGTAAAGTTGATATGTGTGTTGTTCGCGAAAGTTCTAAAGCTGTAACAGCGTTACAGGCTTGTCAGGATATCTAGAACTGACACTACATGTATATATGTATACATACGCATATATACCTCAGTATCCAATGTACATATATATGTACATTGGATACTGAGAGAGAAATATAGAATCCCTGAAAACTTTCTAAAGTTTGCTTATTCAGAGAACAACATAGAATATTAAAGCAGAAAAGTTTAAAACTTTTAAGTACTTTCCAATTAATCCGATACCCTCATTTTTTAACGATCGTGTATTTATTTTTTCTCACACAACAAAGACAATTTTTAACAAATAATTTCAGAAAAAAAATTCTTTATACATAAACAAATTTTTTATTTACAGTTACGTGTAATTATATACCTACAATTATACAATTATAATTATTATTGAGCATCCTAAATATCTCGCTTATTTTTTATGATAAGAGGATGCCGAAAAGAGTCATTATTCACTTCGAGGAGACATTTTTAAGATTTCAAGGTCATTGTCATTTTTTTAATCTGAAAGTACATATTTTTATCCTCGCGATGTGATAGGCAAGGTCAAGAATCCAAAACATTCTTGTTTATTACAGTATTTGTCTCCTCAAACTGAATAATGATCCTTTTCCTATCCTTCTATCATAAAAAATGAGCGAGATATTTAGGATGCTCAAGTTAGGTGGGACATCTTGTATATGAGATCGTCTCAATATATCTTACACATAATTATATGTAAGTTATTTATAATCAGACATGGAATTTGTTTAGATATGCATTTTTTGTATATATAATTATTATATATATATACTTATAAATATATATATATACTTATTTAGAATGTGATTTTTACATAGTACAGATATATAGTATGTATCTGTTGGTATTTATCGCAATTGTTTGGAATATGATTGCGCTAATTAATCACAATTATCTTCAGGAAAAATGCTGCACGTATTTACAGGCGCGGATACGTTGTTGCATAATTTTTATGTCAGAATCGTTGCATACCATTATCATACGTTTAGCACGCACATCGGAAAAAAGCATATTGATAAGTTTTTATCAATCGAACAAATCGTTAATAAGAACGAAATATTTATTGTGTGTGTTTGCGTTTATTTATTTATTTTTTTTTTTTATTTATTTTCAATAAATTGCGCAGATTAATCTCGTGAATTTATTAATAACGCGCGAACGATAAAATTCGTATTATTAAATTTCCACATCGTCGTCGACACACACGCGCACACACACATACTAGATGCATTGTTTCGCGCACAATGTGCAAGCGGAATATTAAGTGATCATATAATAGTTCTCTCACATGAATATACAGTAGCGCAATACTATAAATGTGTGCCGTATAAAAGTAAAGCTCAGTGTGAGTTATTTCGGATTAATATATTGGAGAAACTAATTGTGTCCAACGAAGTCTCGTGTGCGCAACAGTTGATGAAGTTTAGGAAATGGGGAACACACGAATGTGCAAGAGGAAAGAAAGAGAAAGCAGATACAAGATGAGCAAATTTAATATAATCGTACTAAATGCAATGTTCGCGCAAAAATTAGACAGCGCGGTATATTCCTTCGCGTTTTGATGATCGCATTTAACAAAGAGATTTTCCGGGACTTTTTGCTAAAGCGCGTACGCACTTTTTCAATGGTAGAACTTTTTTTCATTACATTTCCCCGATATTTATACGCCGAGTTTCCATTTTGCAGTGGTTTTGTGGTCGCAGACAAAACTCGTAAAGCTGCGGAAGCGAGCCTGCGCGTACGTATCCAATCGTAATATGCTACTCCCCCGCGGTACGCGAATGAATACTTCTTTGTGTAAAAAACGAAACGGCAGAAGGGATGTGTGCAGGAGAGAGGCACACATGCATTGATCATCTTCGGTGTTTGGAGCTGCAGGGAAATACGTGATTGGCGGTGGTAGATTAAAGCGATCGATATATGCTCGAGATTTGAGATGTGTTCGCTCATCGCGATATATCGAAGCCGAACTTGAGCGTACGGTAACGTTTGTCGTTTCATAGGAAAATTTTTATTATCGAAAGATTTTTGAGGCGCGCGATATATAGCTCTAAAGTGAAATCACCTTTGCGTTCGACGACAGGGGGATTGAGGCCGCGAGAGAAAAATTTCACCGTAACTAAATAAGAACTCTGGCAACGAAACGTGCACTTCCTTTGATCGGTGCATCGGAAGTTATTTGAGCTACGTAAAGAGACGAGAATTCTTCGCGACAGCAATAATTTGCCACGTATATATTCTCTGTATGATATATATTTTTTTGTTTTTTAATATTTCTCGCTCGTCTATTTTCCAATGTCTGGTGTATTTCCATCTTTTTGGTCTCATTTATGCGAGTAATTAAATTATCGGTATAATGCAGAAAGAATCGACGAGAGAGTCACGTGAAAAATAAAAGGAAAGATGGAAGAGATAATCCGAAAAGAGATACAGTCGTGAAAAAAAAGCTCGCGACACACTTACGTACACAGAGATGAAACTGGGATGGAAGAGAGAAGATAAATTAAAAGATAAATGAGAGCTAAAGAAGAATTTTTCCAGTAAGAGAGAGAACGTGTTTCTTGCAAAAAATGAGAAGAGCGCGCTAGAAAACGATCGTCATCGATCACGCACTTGAGTAGAATTCCTGTCGTATTTTACGCGCGCTAACGGCGAAGTTGAAATTGAATATACAAGGTGTGACAATTTTTGGCCAAGTTTGCCAGTAGTTTTTTTTTTTTTTTTTTTTTGAGAATTGCGACAATGGTACGAAACGGTGTCGCGCAACTTCAAAGAATTCTTTAATGTATCTTGTGCTCGATTCTAAAAAAAGATGATCTTAAGAAAGTTTCTCTTTAGGATTTAATTCTCATTATCCTTGCGAGAGAAATCGTCTTTATACGACGATTGACTCCTACGTAAGACATCTTAGACTTTTATGCATGACTCTCGTGTACCGATATTACATTATAAATCACGTCATATTTTATAAAGGCCGCGCAACGATGTGCGCGCGAAGAATATCTAATACACTTGCCTCGCACAAAGAAGAATCTCTCTTGTATTATTTTTCGATTCGAGTCGTGAAATTGAATTGGAAAATATTAACTATTTTACGACGTTTTATGGATTATACATTGGATTGCTCTTCTTATAGGCTAATAAATATTTAGCGTAAAGTTTTGTTATGCGATTCACGCGGTTTTAGAAAGATTTAATTGTTGCAATTGTTTTTAATAAAGCAAATTACTCATGTTCATTGATTTTGTGGTCAAAGAGAAGCAATTGATTATTCAACAAGTTTGTGTATGTACAGTCTGTTTTATCGGGTTCTTTGTGTGAAATTTGAAACGTGGTCTTGTGTAATTTTTTCGATTTGATAAAAATAAAAAAGATTGTTTTCTGTGCGGTATATTTTATATTTTGTTAAATTTGCCGATGGCAGTGTGAATCGAGCTAATGTCGCAGCGTGATTTAAACTAGAGTTTGTGTGCGTGAGATAGAAGGTTGGGCTTGTTTGCGCGTATCTGCAAGCAATATATGCTCCAATCTACACACACATGCGCACACATACACACACACTTTCTCTCACCCTTATTCGCTTTTGTACAACGTCAAACATCATTTTGTTTCATCCGCACATCATAGAGCACGCGCGTTGCGTCCGCACGCGCGCGCGTTCAACTTCATTGACAAGTTATATGTAACTTTGAAAATGTCACAGCAGCCAACGCTCGCTTTTGTTCAAATAAAAACACATATTTCAGAGTCACTTATCGCTCCCTTTTTCGAAGTTTAATTTACTCTCGATTCCGAGAGTGCATCATAAAAATTTTTCGATTTCTGTAGCGTTTCGCGAGAACAAAATGCTGATCAATACATATGTTAATATCATCTTTTCACGTTCTATTGATTGAGCGTTCTTTTTTTTCTGTAATCTACAGATTTTTCGACTATTATTGAGATTATTTTTACTGCAAAAAAGCAAATCTCTTTCAGTCCTTGTTATTACGGGAAAAGACTTTTGATGGAAAAATAATATTCATAAAAGCTCTCTGATCCAATTGGCACACACACACGCACACACACACACACACATAGAGGCAAAAAGTGTCACAAAATAATGATATTCAAGTTTCATGGCGCAGAAGCATGGGGCGCATCAATTTCTCCAACACTAATGTCGTTACGATGTCTTTGAGAGACGATCATGTGCGACATTACTCTGAACAACTATGCTTACTACACACACATATATTCTCTATATATACACACGAAGAGATAGACTTAGGCTTAAAGTTAACGTGGACTTTGTCACATATGCTGACACGCGCCACGCTGCGAGTCGCGAACTCTAGATCGAACAAGATAATTACGTGTGTTCGATACATATACTTTGTAAAGGAAATTACGCAAACTGGCGCGTAAAAGCCTCCGGCCGACTGATGACATTAAAGTCGGCAAAGTGAAACGCGAGATCCTTTCGCAAACGTTCGGCTGACTACTACAGAAAATAAAGAAGTGTCAAAGTTACTGAAATATCTTGCCGCTACTTTTACCGCTATTTTTGAAATCATAAAAAAAGAGAAAGAGAGAGAGAGAGAGAGAGAGTAGAAATTAACTATCGAATTATTTATATAAACGTTTTTTTGGTATTACAATTTTATTTATGAAATTGTTGATTTTACCTTTTCATGCGCGCGAAAAATTACTGAGTTTTTATCTCCCGCGTATTTTTCTCCCCTCTATGCAAATTACTTGCTGACGTAATGTAATCGCGAACAATTTAATGTAAAGCCTTGAGACATTTCTTCCGGCAAAGAGACACGTATCAAAGAATTTTCCGTTTCATAAATTACGTTGGCGTGGCACAGCAATATGTTTAGCATTTTCGTCGAGCGGACGAGAAGCTACTTTTCTTCGTTCGTGTTTGGACTCACCTTCCTACATTGTGTGCGAACGTGCCGGGTATATTTATGTCGGTATCAGCGCTTCATAATTCATGAAATAATACTTATTGTATCTAAAGTATATAATATAATAATTAAGATAATTTCAAATTGCGCAGCGTGTTGTAATTCAAATTTATAATTGTTTCTCGCATTCTCTCTCAAACTATATATTGTTTCATTATACTATTTAATTATTTAATTATTTAATTTTATTATTTAATTTTCCAACATTTTACTCATATGTGCACGGATTAATTATAAGTATAGCTTCCTTCATATTTCCGTTGAAGAATGAATTCTCTCCGAGTAATATTATTACGAATGCAAACTAAATAATTTAAGCTGGTTAATTATTGCAAACGAGATGTAAAGCGAGTTGTTCACGAAAGATCCGTGCGAACTGGAAACGGCATTTATCCTTTCGAGAACAGCGCTCATTGAAAGAAAAGGTCACGGAAGGAAGAAAAAGTTACGCAAGTAGTTTTTTAAGAGGTATATTGTTCACGAAATGGTCGCACAGAAACTTCGTGAATATATCCGGTTTTTCGGAGGTTTTAGAAGAGTTCTTGTGTACAAAACTTTACCCTCTTCTGTCCAAAATCAAGCAGAAAAATTTTCCAGCGTTGCAAAGTGAGTCGGCAAATGTAATAATGACGCAGTATTCATTTTACGCTATGTATGTAAATGTCAAGCCAGATTAACACGAGTTTTCCCTAATAATGTCGCAAAGTACAAGTACTAATCGTTATGTCGTTTAATCGACCGCTATAAGAAAAAAAACATTCATTTAATGTCGTTTGTTAATATCATTTATTTCATTCATTAATATTATTTACACAGAATATACATACATGAAATAAGATAATAATTTTATACAAAAACAATTTGTCTTTGAAAGAATATTGAACTAATATCAAATTAATTGATCGAATTGTAGCTGTAACAACCTTGTTACATTTATATCGCGACTAAAACTAAACAAAGTCGCAAAGGCGATAGAAATTGTATCGATTTTGTCTCTGTATTTCTCTCTCTCTTTCTCTTTGTGCGCATTTTTCAATTCCTCTGTAATAGACAAGAACTAATTTTCGATAAATGGTGTGCGCATTATTGCGTCGATAGAAATGTGACTTGTATATTTTTTTTCAAAACATTGCACAACGATGATAAAGCTGATCTGTTCCTTCATTTGTACGATGGGCTGTCACTGTTTTTTTTTTTTTTTTTTTTTTAAATAAAAAAACAGTTTTTTGATCTTCTGAACGTCGCACATTCCGCGTCAAAAAGAATATCTACTGAAAAGAAATCCATTAATTTTTCTGTGTAAGATTACACACATTTACACTTATATCTTACATCTATATACTTCTTGGAACATTATTTTTCTTAAAAAGCAGCTTTTCTTTTCTTTTCCTAATTCTCATGTTGTGCTGAGAAGTCCAAATGGGAACGAGGATTTCTCGTCGGATTGTGAGTTTTTATTGAAATGTATACGTATTACAGTATGGAAGAAGGAAAATGGTTTTTATAAGAGTTTTTATAATATGCTGTGTGTCAGAAGGGATTTAAAAGACAGAGAAGAAAGAGAGAGCGAAATGTTTTTTTTAATTATTTAGTTATTTAAATAAAATGAAATAGAATAATCTCATAACAAGCTCTTAATTTGCACGCAAATTGTGTTATTATTAAGAAATATATACTCTTCCGAGATGAGGAAGCGACTCGATTTACTAATATCTTAAGCGAAGCGGTTATACCTCGGTTTGATGACTTACAGCAGAATCAATAATCACAGTCGCAAACAATCCCCGATATCGGTTTCTCTGTACCTGTGTGATATAGGTATGCCGTTTGTCCGACTGCAATCATACTGCGATTGGATTAATTGTCTTTGCGAAGAGCTTCGCTGTGTTCCGATTGAGGTTTATCCTATTTTCCGCGCTTCGGTGATCGTTTGCGTCTAAACTGAACAATAGTTTGCGAGTTTGCGGAATTTCGTTTTTCCTGCAGATGATACATAGCCATTCGACGAAACTATTCGATAACACGACATATACGAGGTTTTTTTTATGTGTGTTTATATATTACATTATATATCTATTTAGCTTCGTTCCTATTTGAGTTTCCACTGTGATATATGCATCAAAACTACAGAATAAATATTACGGAGAATGCGCGTGTATCTGTTTCAGAGACTACGAAAGCAGCAATATATTGGACAATTTGCTGTCCCGTATGGAACAGTACGCTACGAACTTGGAAACGCTGGTGGAAGAACGCACGGCGGATTATCTCGACGAGAAACGTAAATGCGAGGAACTCCTTTACCAGTTACTACCGAAGTAAGTTTCCGCAGAATGCGACTATAAAGCAAAGTTTTCATCGGAAACCGTCGTATTTGACAAGTACCGTTGAGAATTTACTCCGAGTATCTTTCGTGTTTGGCTAGGAACGATAAATATTCAAATGGTCAATTATTGTTGGAAAATACCTTTGAAACAGTCTCTACGGTCTAAGATTTCCGTCTTGGGAAAAGATTTTTATTATCTAAAATTGATCGTGCGTGTTTCTTTCTATGAAATCGTAACTGCAACATTCTAATTTTGCAAATTGCTTCACGTTGTCACAAAGAAATTGTGAAATCGCAAAGAGAAGAAAAATGCGAACTACTGAAACGTTAAGAATAGATTGAGACAGATTAAGAATAGACTTTTACAATATCACTTTTTTCTAAATCGGAATTAATTTTTTTAATTAGAGAAAAAGCGGAAATAAAATTATAGAACAGTGTATAGAAGAACATACTTATAGAAGTCATGTAAAAAGTTTTTAAAAAATTCAGAAACAATTAGATACATTGCTTTCAATCGATTTAAGCAAAATCGGAAAACACATTTGTGCAAAGTGACGGGAGAGATTTAAATTAATCACAAGAGAGATTGGTCTGCAAATTGATGTAACGCTTTCTCGTTTCACTTTTTTTTCTATCTGCATAGAATTATTTCTATCATTTTTTTGACACGTTGTTTTTTTCTGTTGACAACTAAATTCAATATTAGAGTTTGTTTCGATAATACAGTTTGCTTATCCGAGTGATTCGAATAGTTTATTCGTGTTTGGAATTTGAATTTGTTTTATGGCCGGTTTGGATTGAATTTTTATTTGCATTTGTGCCGGCGTTCGCGACAGTGTGTGAATTATTTACCGGGATTTCTGTATCGACAAAAATATGCTAATCCAAGATACCTACTGGGAATAAATCAGTCGGACATAAATGTACACGAGCGCGCTCGTTTTATATAGCAAACCCACACACCAAAGCATTTAAAACCACTAATTAGACGTTTGCAATGAATGCGGTTACTCTGTGTATATAGCCTTTGACATCGCGGCGCGAAAATATTCAGTCGCGTTACAATCTGAAGAATCTGTCCACGTATTGCAGAGAGCGTGAAATTGAACGGCGGTGATATGGAAATGAAATGAATCGGTCAAATCGATTTGCTCACGCGGTGAGGCGCGATCGAACGGAAGGTTATCGAAAGTTGGTCAACCTTAAAATTGAAATTGATCTGAATAAGAAAATGAAAAAAAGAAGGGAGAGAGAGAGAGAGAGAGAGAGAGAGAGAGAGAGAGAGAGAGAGAGAGAGAGAGAAGAAGGAAGAGAGAGAACAAAATAGAAGCCGCCATTGCGTGAAGTAAAGATACAACGGAATTGTCGTAAGAAAACGGACGGAATAATTTTCTCGTTATCGGCATAGAACGTAATTTGCGAAGAACTGCAACATAATTATACGGTGTTACTTTGTATCGAGATTGCACGAGACGCGGAGATGACGGGCATAACGCAAGGGAACTCGGAATGAATTGCTGATACGAGCAGCTTATGTAATACGCGTCTTATCGTTGCACATATTCCTCGTGTGTCGCTGCGCGTTACAACATAATTAGAATTTTCCATTTATTTAAAAAACACTAGTCATATGTCTAAAAGGGCGCTATTTTCGCAAAACATAAGCGGCGGAAATAATTTGATATAAATTTTGCGTTGTTCGCGAAAGATAATCAATTGTAAATCGCGCGCGCAGAAGTAACATTTTCCTTTTTTATGGAGAGCTATCTCGTCAAAGGACGGATAATGTATAGTGTACACATGTACGTGCGTGCAAAGCTGAAAGCTCTCGGTTAAACGAAACTATCTCATTTTGCGGCGTGTACGCGGTTAACATGGCTCGTATAACTGTTCGCCAGCGCAAGTAGGTAGAACTTAATGAACTTTGCGAAGATAAAAGAGACGAGAGCGCACGAGGTACATGAGATGGAATTTTGTTCGGAGCTTTGAAAACTTTATCATAGCTCGTATACCCTCGCGAGTGTTAACGCTCTGTACATATATTCGGACATTCGTCTACGTATCTACGTTATACGTCGAATTATCCGTGTCGCGCGTTTGCCCAATGTGTGACGATTTTAGATCGTGACCTAAAATACACGTAAAAGACAATTTTTGCGAGCGACCCGAAATTGATTTCCCGCCTGTAATTGGATAGCAACATTTTATTATCTACCTCTCGATGCACGTGATTTTTAGCTTATTTCATCGGGGGGAAAAAAAAATGAACGTGGAAAATTAACTTTCCTTAATGTGACGCACATATGTAATTGTGTAGTGTGTACGTGAGAGTACGCTAGTGTAATACTATCCTCTTTTCTTTCAAAGGAAGTAAAAAAATGTTAACTTTACTTCACTTGCACTATGTACTTTTCCAAGAGAGAAGAGTTTTAAAGGAACATTAATATGCAGTGTCTACTGCACATAGTTTATTTTTTACTTAATTTCTGAGGTTTATTTTATCTTCCGTTAAAGTTAACGTGTTAAATCTGTGAAATCACATTTATCGAGGAGAAAAAATTTATCTTTTTAAGGTAAAAAAAACCGCTTGAGAAAATTGATACGGAAGAAATTAATATTTGAAGTTTTAAGCATTTCGGGAAAAAAAATGAAGTCATCAGAGTTAAAAATTTTGAAACAAATAATATACATGTTTTGTCACTTTCGAGGACACCTTGTCTCATTCCCTCAAGAGACTTTTTCTGTTATTGTTTTTCTTGAAAAGACGTATGTTTGGCTGAAACAGATCGGTGGCGTCGCAACTGATCCTCGGACAAAGCGTAATCGCCGAGACGTACGATCAAGTGACAATCTACTTCAGTGACATCGTGGGCTTCACCAGCTTGTCGGCCGAGAGCACGCCGCTGCAGGTGGTCGATCTGCTCAACGATCTTTACACGTGTTTCGACTCCATTATCGAGAACTTTGACGTTTACAAAGTGAGTACTGACCCGTTTCCGGGAAAACATAATATTATGTAGATCACGATTTCACCCTCGGTTGAATGGGTGAATATTATTTTTGTCTCGAGGAAAAAGAAATAAGAGAAAGAGAGAAAGAAAGAGAAAAGACGCAGCAAAAGTCGAAGGCGTTAAACTCTTGCGCGAGGATGGCGTCACGCTCGCAATATCCAACTTTCTCAGGCGCTATTTTTTGTTGAAATGATGAACGCTTTTCGTTCGCAGCTCTCACAAGTTTTTTCTCCCGCGAGAGTCCGACGCGTTCAATTAGAAAACTTCGCGTTCGATCTCTCAGTCTTTGTTAATCTTTCTTTTTTCTCCCGCATTTTCGTTTTGTAGTTATTTTTTGCGTAGTTATTTCTGCGTTTTTCTGCCTTCAGGCTAAATGATCATCGAAAATAAAGCGCGTTACGTGGTTACCATGCCGTATTTCGCTTTAAATCAACCTCGAGAGATCTCCTAATTCTATATTTACGAAGCGCCTCCACGTGGAGATCCTATCCGCGAGATATTCAGTTAAAACCGACTGGAGGAAGATAAGCATGTCAATACCGAGAAAACAAATTGCCCTTGATTTCTTGCAGCAACGCAATTTTCCGTGAACGAATAATATGAAGAAACGTGCTAATAATAAAATAAATTTCTAACGAATTTTAATTGTGCCAAATGTCAGAGAATATATTTTAGGGAATATATTTCAGCAAAATTTATCTTAAATTAATATGCAGTTTTACACATACGCACACACGTTATTTCGTAATATGTTATATGTTCGTGTGTAGTTTCTTAAATTTTATTATTTTTTAATCACGGATTTTTTAAACTTCGTCTCACTGTTTCCACTCTCGAAAGTTCTTTGCTTTTATTTTCTCTCTATTTGCTTTTCACAGTATTAAATATCAGATGTAAGTACACTTTGCGCGGTTCTCTTTGTGTATTTATTTTTTCATTAATGTTTTACGTGTAAAAATGTATTGCTAAGCAAAAATAGATGTTATCATTTATTCTATTTGTTTTATTTCAGTATTACGCATATTTTTAAAACTCTAGTGCTATTGCTGAACAAATAAATATTTATTCTGCGAAATATTTTTTTTCTCACAATTACGTCACTTTGTATGAAAAATATGCGTATATGGGGGGAAATAAATTCAACGTATATCTTGTTTTTTTTTTTTTTTTTTAATATACATAATAAAATTAGGCAAACAAGGGTAATAATACTGACGCATATTGTACGAAGCAAATCGTAGTTTAGTACACTCTCGGGTGATATTAAATTTTTTATTGAGATTATACAGCGGCATCATTTGTTCCGATCTTTGTTTCAGGTGGAAACGATAGGGGATGCTTACATGGTCGTATCGGGATTACCGGTGAGAAACGGCATGAATCACGCCAGGGAGATTGCAAGGATGAGTTTAGCTCTCAGGGACACGGTAATGACGTTCAGCATTCGCCATAGGCCGACCGAGCAATTGAAGCTACGTATTGGCATGCATTCCGGTGAGTCAACACTTTATCATGTTTTTCTTTCTCGCACGCGTGTATGTGGGGAGGATAAAGATTAGTCCTAACATGATTTCGGACTTTCTGCCAAGCTTTATATTGTAGCCTTGTACGGGTCTATAATATATCTGAGAATTTCAGACCTTCTCTAACTTTCTCTCGATCTCTCGAAGTTTAGTATCACGCCGGGAGATTTGTATAACATCTCGTGTGTTATTACAAACTTTTATATTTTTGAAAAGAACATTTCTTCCACTTGTTTTGTATCTCTGCTACATACACGGTGTTATAAATTTGCTTTTTGCGCCACGGACACGGGGGGATCGATTTTCGCTCGCACAGAAGCAAAGGTCAGAAACGCGAGCTTTAGGTGCGGACGTTGCAAACGCGCACAACTTCAACAAACCAACATCTAGCGCAATATTAAAAAAAAAAAAAAAAAAATTTGTTTGCCGCGAGAACCATTACTCGGTTAGGTTAATTTTCAGGGGAATACGGAAAACGTCGAGGGAAATGCCAAAAACGAAAAACGTGAGTCGAAAATAGAATCACGGCTGGTAACATTGGCAAACTGTTCGTTCGTTATAAAAGAATGAGCGATTGCATTTTCCGATTAATAACGCCATTGCGTCCTCGATTCTTCTCTCATTAATTTATAAATTCGCGGCATGCGGACTCTCTCGAGAATTACACTCGTGTTATTACGTGACGAGAATCTTCTAGACTAACCACTACCACTTCCGAATCTCATTTCATTGTCTCGCTCAAATTTTTCTTGACCGACGCCAATGTCACACGCTCGTTCCCGGAGCAACACATATCCTTCACGATCACGTAAAACTTAGATTACACCAGTTCGGCGAGCAGAAGCGATTCTATGTGATATACGCCGAGCGGTCGGCTATCATTTCCGCGGTTAATTGCTTTTTAAATGGATTTGGAATACAACGTTGTTCACTCGGCGAGATAAAATTACGCGCTCGTAGATTCGTGGAAACAATTACTCATTAAAGTTTTAAAAGCCCGTCATTGAAATTAAATGTTTTCATTGTCATAAGAACAGAGAATTAATATTTGTGTGTGGAATTGTGTTTGTGATACTTAACAAAACATGGCATTTTTTGGAATAAAAATCTAAAAATTACGCGTCTCTGATAAAGAAAAAAAGATGATTAAACGACATTTAAAACACCAAAAAAGATACTTTTTAAATTTCTGTTTCTTTTACAGGGTGAAAATAAAATTTTTATATTTGTTTATTATATTTGAGAGAGATTTAATTTCTCTCAATTAAGGAAAAATTCAATTGTCGAAGTGATTGCTATTGTTGTCACCTCGCGTCATCATTCATCGGACAGCTTATGAATTTTGTTTTCACGGAAGCTTGGCGAACGACAAAGAAAAATGTTACACGCGTGTGATTGCAGGTCCATGCGTGGCTGGCGTGGTGGGTCTGAAAATGCCTAGATACTGCTTGTTCGGCGACACGGTTAATACGGCCTCTAGAATGGAGAGCAACGGAGAAGGTAATTAACTGCTCAATCATACCCGGGAAGAAAGGTTTCGCTTGTCGACGGTGTAATGGGGGAGAACTAGTAGTAGGAGGTTGAAAGTTATAGATGCGAGCGATAATTAAAGGGGAGAAGTAAAGGTGTGGCAAGGGCAAGGTCGCCGCTTAAGAGAAAATCGACCCGGTTCACGTGTTTCCATAGAGATGCGATCATGCTCGGTTTATTTTACATTGAACGTTAACCGTATGAGTCTAACCATAAATATTGATTAGCTGCAGCTACATGTTCATTTTAGCAACAATTCCTATAATCCGAAGACACATACACATGCACACACAAAAACACACGTATTTATATCATTGCTGATTAATTTATTGAAACTTATTATCATTTTGTCGATTAATTACAAATGTATCGCGCAATTGATTGATTTCGCGCTTATCTATAATTCCAAGTAATAATTACAATTAAAATCGAGCGACGGTAATATTCTGGGCAAATCAAGTGATAATCCTAATTGGAATCAATTTGCATCCGATGTTTTCTCTCGGTAGTAAGCCATCGAGACCATAAATGTAATGGTTTTGACACCGACCTGACACGAGGGTTTTGATTATTGTCGAAAGAAACGGCACGCTATTGATAAAATTGATTGCATCCTGTATCTCGTTTACCGGCAAAACAGCTCACGAGGCGCACGCACGAATGTCGTCGGTTAATGTCGCGTGGGTGGAGTGCTTTTCCCTCGCACAAGAATCTAGGTGCCGATGTCGCTCGTGCGAGGCAAGGACGCACCGCAAGGCGCCACGCGGCTGTTTATCGAGTTTTCTTCCTCGAGCTCGTGTTTTGTACGTCGAAAGAATTACACCATATAAAATTTTTCCAGATTTTAAAATTAGACTTTGGTGCATATGCGATTTCTTATCTGTTTCAATCCGTTTGACGCGTGCTCGAGCGCTGGACTGTTTTGTTTTTTTTTTTTTTTTTTGACGCGTTATCGCGTGCGTGCAGCACAAACTTAATGCGCAAAAACGTCACATTTCGAGATAATTAATCACAAAATTAATTAATTATTTTGCAACAAATTTCACGCGCGCAACTTTAGAATTTATTTATTTAATACGACGTCACACACATATGTGTGCGCGTGTGCGAGAGAAAACTATGAAAAATATTGCGTTCCCGCGCGCATATTTTTTTTTTTTTCTATCTATCTCTAACGAAATAAAATATACTAATCTAATAGAGAGAGTTTTCGATGAGGATTTTGTTTTGTTTCCTACGCTCTCATTTTACGCGTCAGATCTTGGTTCAATCGGAATCGATCGAATGCAAAATTGAGATTGATTACATCACAGAGTAAAATATGTCAATTATTCAAGAGTCACACGCACACATATCGTCTGCCGAATACGCGCATTTAATCAATTATCGACGCAGTGCTCTATGATACGATGTTTATTACGCGTAATAATTGGCATATTACATCGCGTAATTGATTCATTATGATGTAGTTACATAACTGATTTAACATGAAACACTCGCTCGCTATCGATCGCGCTCGACTGTAATACAACCTTATTCCCTCTTTTTCCGTTAGAAAGACAGCAATCAGGTTGCTCTAGAAACGGAGGAGATCATACGAAAATTACGTATATCGGATTAGCATATTTGCGATCGCTCGCTTTGCCTCTCGGTCGTGCCCGTAATCGAACTTGCGCACTCGCGCTCGCCGGAAGTTCCGATTGGAGGGTGTAACTTTATTATCGCTTTAAATTCCATTAAAAGTTTTCTCCGAGCGATCAGCTCGAGACGACGTGATATAGTCGCCAATTTATTCGTATTAGTTAGGTTGTGTGGCCATCGAACTGTAGATTGATTTGTCTCTCACAATTTTTGTTCCCATCCTTTTGTAACACTCCATTGTGAAGACCTTGATTTTTTTACGCAATGTGCTTTGTTATTTTTCTTACGCGCTTACAATTCTTGTCGTAATTGGAAATAATCGAGAAATCAAGTATTGTTCAACTTGATAAAAAAACTATAAAACATTTTGAAAACAAAACATTTGAAAACAAAAATTATCGAAATAAAACACACTTGCCGATATGTCTGACACAATTTATATTTTCTTGTCACGTATTTCGAGAAGAGCACAAATTATTTGTTGATATCAGCCACACACAGAGAGATTTACACGCAAAAGTTTGTGAAATAAAATTTACTTTTCAAGCTTATAGTTGTGACCCGAGCATTTTATGTGCTGTCGTAAAATACACGATAGGTAAAATACACGATAGGTTTACACAAAACTGGCTATTTTATATGAATTATTTATTGATGTTTGCTACACAGTATTTACGCGCAAAAGTTTATAAGACAGCTTTTATAAAAATCACTTTGCAAGTATTTGATAGCTTATATATGTTGTTTCTCTAATACCTTCTGTTGTCATAAAATATATCCACGATCGTTACGGCTATTTTATAGATAATTGGAATTTACGGTCTCTTTGTCTCGCTGAAGAGAAAATTAAAAACATTGAAAATCGGTAAAGTTTTTATTAAGATTTTCAATTTATATGTGACATACATAAAATTGCGTGTATATGCAAAAGATGATCATGATCATAATTGTTTTTTTTTTTTTTTTTTTTTATTTTGACTGTTTTATCACGTTTGCTTCAAACTTGTGCGGCTTCATTGATAGAGAGAAATTAATTGGTAGTCAGGATACGCGCGAAGTTTACATGTTGTTGAAGGGCTTTAAGTTCTTAGCTCTTCTGATACGGTCGTCTTGATGCTGCTCGCTCGCACGTCACAATAAATCGAGTCATGACGTTCTATTACATAAAGGTCATGTGAGCTTGTGAAGTTAACGAAAGCGACGTACAATGTCATTTAACATTATTACGTTTTGTTTCTCCGATACGAACATTAAATTTCTACTCTTTTCCAAACAGCTGGGATAATTCTTTGCAGGTTAAACATACAATAAAAAAAACAATACAGATTGATTATTCTTTATGTCGCAGAATTCCACGGTTATTTTAAATTTTGTTATTTGAAATTACAAACGTTTTTTTCCTATGAATAAGCAAATATCCGGATGCATACGCATCGCTTTGGTCATATCTCTGGACATGTGTGCTGGATATAATTGCTATTTAATTGGAAGTTTAAATTAATAGAATAAAAAACTAAAATTATACTACATAAATAAAAAAACCCAAAAAGTTAAGAATAAATTGAATAGGTTAAAAAAAAGTATTATGTGTTTTTTTATTTGTAATATTTTTTATTTCAGCACTTCACTCTCGAAAAGCACTTTAAATTTGCGCTCGTTTATGAAATCGTTGATCATACTCGATATTTAATTACGAGAATATCGATTCCAATCAACCCGTCTATTGAAATTAAAATCAAAGTTTAGAGCACACGTAGTTATAATTCAGAAATGAAGAGAACGACACGCGCGTAATGAGGAAGCAATTGCGCGTATACGAAAGGCATATAGAATGCATGTAGTTTCGCAGCACACGATGCAGCGTTGAAACTACAAAATGCACTGCCGCCGGAAGCTGTTAGACACAAAGGCCAGCTTATTCGCGTTACGTGCAGTCACTATGAAAATTCCTCTTGTTGCGTAAATTTCTGACGAACCAAAACCTTTTACGTCGGTAGATAAAATGTCACATTTCGATGTCTGAGACACGATATTCAGAAAAGAGCACAGCGTGCCCTTTTTCCGCCATTGTATTTTTGAAATAGTTTGATAATTTAATTCTAAAAATAGAATCAAACGGTGCTTTTACGACAAAGTCTTAAAATGCAAGCCCGTTAAAAATTGATATAAAACAGTTTAACAGAAATTTATTACAATCAAAGAGAAAGATAAACACAAAAAAATTAAATGTTCTTGTTTCTTTGTAATTTAATTTTTTGTAGAATTTACGCGCGCGTATAAAAAAAAATTTAAGAGCATTAAATTCCGCTTTGATTGCTCATACTCTCTGGATGTACCTATATTTAACGAAGCAACTGCTAAATCTACAAAAAAATCTAAAAATACATTTTAATCGATCATCTTATAATAGTAAACGTTGTAATGTCAAACGAGCATCTCACAGGTTAGTGATGCGGGAGGTTAAAGGACATGTTTAAAACAAAATTGGCTTTTTTTCTGTTTTCTGCGACAGCTTTAAAGATTCACGTCAGCCCGAAAACGAAGGAAATCCTGGATACTTTCGGCACGTTCGAACTCGTCTGCAGAGGAGAAGTCGTACTGAAGGTAAGCGCTTTATTCGTCTCATTTGGATTTTTCACGATTTACGATAAGAGATATCTATAAAGAACTCGGATAGAGAAAAATTAATTATTCTTTTTTTTTTTTTTTTTATTAATGACAAGTAATGTGGTCGCCGTTGTTTCTTTTGTGAGAGAGAATCTTTTGATCCTTTCTTTGAAACCCCGAATGTAAAGAAGAAACCAAATTGCTATCGAGGTAGAACGTATTGATAGTCATTCCCGCGTGTCGCGAACGTCACGTAACCACGAGAGAGTGGCAGCGGCAAGAGATGGAGGGCAGCTTTCGTTTACCCTCGATTGGCATTTCGCGGTGAAAAGAAGAACGCCCGCGGATAATCATTGTGCGCGCGCGAGCGTGTCCTAGTTACGATCTCGTTATATCACATAGAGAATCACTACATATGCAGTGCGAACTTTTTGCTCACGCATAACGGATGAGTAATAAAAGCGCTTATTAATTTTTGTTTCATATTCCGTCATAATGATTATTAACATCGAACATTCGTATTTAATTTATTATTATGAGACAAGTAAAACAGCTCCTTCGGCTTCGTTATATTCCGCGCAGTTGTTATAAAAATCCATTTGTGAAAAATATCTTTTTTTAACAATTATATAAAATTAATTAAACGCAATTTTTTGTATTACGACAGTATTTTATTACGCTTCTTGAGGTGGAAGTAAAAGTTAAAAATGTTGGAGGAATAGAGAAAACAAATGTGTATTATTTTCTGTATAAAATCAAATTTAGCATTTATTTTTTCTTGCGGAGTTTAATATTCTAGCAATTTAAATTCTTTCTGTTTTATTTAGTCTTGCTTATTCCCCTAATTTAACTTTGATCCTTCTCCTCGGGTTTTATTTTAGTTTCTGAAGCATGCAATCTAGTCAATTCTCTTCGGACAAAGGGATCTCTTTCTCAACTTTCCTTTATCCCGAACTTTGATGTACAATTGTGTTTAACTACTTAGGGGTGTTGGGAGTTGCGGATCGCGGCGATTGCAATCATGCTCAGCGCACGTGTGCGGGCGTGATTTCATTATTTCTGTTTCTGCGAACGCATCTCCCGTGACGTGCGCGACATATTTGAAAGTGCTGTAACCGAGCACACGTTAATACCTCCGTGTTTAATTGTGCACGTTTGCTCCCAGGTGCGATTCACCTCCGTTTTCCCGGAAGAGAGTAATTTGCACATAAACTGGCTGCAGCGCAGTCGTTTCGGCAGTCGAAATTGCACAGTCGTTCTATATAACGCGATAAAGACGCGCGACAATTTTGCGACTACGTCAAATCACACACACACACACAGTTGTGACGTCGGGATGCACAAACGGTAATTGCTTTAAATAACAGACATTGACCTTGCGTTTTTGATCGTTGACGTGCGTCTTATGTCGATTATCTCGTGTTATTTTTATTACTTTTTCACGAAGACTTTTCACGAAGATGCTCGGTAATAGAAGAAGTGAAAAAAGATGCAGCACTAGAGCCTCGCTATTATTCCGAGTCGAAGCGTTTCGTAAAGCGTTTTGTGTGTGAGGATAATTCCGCGGCTCTCAACCAGACAAAGGTTTCGCTTATCTTTAGCCATGTGACATGTGTCGTCACGCTGTTATGGCGCAATCATTCCCGATCGGTTTGTGCGATACTTCGCGCATGAACGTCATCGAAGTCGCTGTCATTAGACGGTCGATTGAGTACACTCGTGCGAGCGCAACGAGACAGACAACTAGGAAGCGTATCGACGGCGGGCGATTGAATCGTTCACCGTGCAATTCGGGTCAAAGTTCAGCGGTCGAGGGGGAGCGCGCGCCACTGCAGCAGGTATGCAGTTAATTAGTAAGATAATGCCGCTGTGGAGAAACCCGCCCGGCAATTCACGCGTACGTAGGCAGGTATGTCGAGGAGCTTGTTGGCCGGGATTAAAATTCAATACCTCATACAGATAACGGTTGGACAGCGTCCGTGTTATCGCTGATTTGAATATTTACACGCAGCACTCTGAGGATTAAATGCAGCACTGAATGCCGCAACATAACAAAAAACGCGATGTATAATATAATTTTTACTTTCTTTTCTACATTAAATTAAGGTCGCAGAGAGAAAGAGAGAGAAAGAGAGCGGCTTTATAAATGAAATCCTTCGGAGAGCTACGCGTATTATGCATAGAACTTGGTACGAAGCCGGTTATTTTGCTGGTATGACTTTCTGATTTAATTTAGTTAACTTAAAATAACGAAGTTCTGAGTGAGACGAAAATAAAAAACACGGCAAGAGAGAAACTTTTTTTTTGTTTTCCTTTTTCGCGCATAATTCAATAGAGCCAGTCTCGTCTCGTGCTCCAGCTTGAAGTAATCTTCGGCTTCTGTTGATTGTTCGCAGGGTAAGGGCCCTATGACTACTTATTGGCTGATAGGGGAGAAAACGACGAACAACAACGTGCAACAGGCGAATCCCACGACGACGATCGGCCAGATATCGACTCTTCAGGATCAACCGGCCGTGAACGCGCAAAGTCAAACGACACAGCCGACGAAGCAACAGGATCAACAACGCGCTCTCTCCTCCGCCGCCTCCGTCGGTCAGCAGCAGCACAAGTTTCAAGGTCCATCGGATCAGTACGCGACCCAGCAGCAATCGATCCAGCCGACGAGGAGTCAGCAGAGCCAACAGAGGCCGCAGGAACCGCAGCATCCCGGCTTGACGAACCAATCGCGAACGCAATCGGTCCAAACTTGCGCACCGCCGACTACGATTCAGATCCAGAATCCCCAGAAATCTCTGCTGGCCAATTCCGCGTGCGGTCTCACCGGGAACGGCGCCCCGAAATCGGTGACGTCGCGCAACGTCGTCGCGACGACGCCGATCGGCAACTCGTCGCCGTCTCGCAATCGCGCGACCGGCAATCCGTCGAACGCCAATAACTCCGTGCACCAAGTTTACCCGGCGACCGAGAGTATGCCTAATTACGCCGAGAGCGGTCCCAACGCCCCGCTACTTCTGCCCGCGGGCGCGGTTCCTAGAGTTTAGCTTTCTTAAGAGGTGTCCTTCCGCCGCGGGGGAATATCCTAACACAACGTGGATGTACCGCGCGGGGAAGCGTGCCGACCGACACTTGGGTCCATTGGTGGGAAAGTGAAATTTTGCGTAGTTATTATTCACGTGAAGTACTTATGTAGATGAAGAGAAGACGAATGGCCTCTTTGTGGAAGGAAAAAGATTCAAGAGTTATTCGTGGATTTTAATTTCCGCCGATGTTTTTGAGATTAAGATTCTTTGTTTTAGCGATTATTGAAATGAACTTGCGAACGCGCATTGGAACAAGAATTATCTCGTTTTATGGGATTTATGTGACATACGTTAATTCATTTTAACGTTCGTTTGACTGATTGTTTATTTGTTGCCTGTTTCAGTAAGTATATATGTATATATTAAGTATAAAGCAAATAATTTAGATTATTCTAAAATTAATCAGTTAATTAATAGGAAATTTGTTTTTTGCTAAAACAAATCCTGACTTATAATAACAGAGTCTGAACTGTAGAGTTTTGATTTTGTTTTCGCGTTATTGATATATATATATATATATACATAAATATATACGTCAAATCGATATAAGAAGAAGAGATTAATTTAAAAATTTGAACTTGGAGTCGCGGTTCTACAAAATCACATCCTGCCAACTACATAATATATAGTGTGAATAACGTAATACGCTTACAAGGAACAACTTTTCTGTTAATAATTACTTAATTATTTAATTCTTAAATGTTTGATATTTTAGGCGTGACGATGACCGGATCGCATAGTAAGGAATAAACAGATTTGAATTGAATAGTCTGAATCAAGAGAGACCTGAAAAAAAGAGCAATTAATCGTAGAAAGGTATACGAGTGACGTATTTTAGCCGGATATATTTTTCTCGTCTCTTGTACATGGACACAGTATTAAATTATATCGAGCGCTCATGCGCGCTTTTTCACGCGGTTTATTTATTATACAAAAACCGAAGCAAGCCGTCGTTCTTGCGCGTATAAGTGATCGGCGTGAGTCATTTTGCAACACACAAAAATGCAACGGGCTTGGCTTAGCGCGATCAATCCCGCCGAAAATAAATCTTACATTAAAAAGTCTAATCGCGAAGACTGTTACAGTCGAATTTATTTTAGTCCTTGTTTTTTTTTTTTTTTTAAGATACTTCGAAAAATTAAAAATTATGTATATTTTATCATTTTTTGCCGCTAAACTTGTGTAATTAAGTCTCTAATTATTCATCAAGTTTTATCTCTACTTTTCCTGTCTACATCTGTTGGAACACAAAACAAGGTAATAGAATTAAAGGTACAATTTATCACAATGTTTGCCACGTTGTGTGAGAGATCAAATATTTATTAGTAAAATTAACCTTGGGAAAAGGTCTACAATTTTTTTATCAATAAATTATTGTACTTGGTATCAAAACAAGTTTTGTACGTACAGTATATCTCAGTCTATATACATATACATTTTTGTTTTATTTTGAAAAAAAAAAAACAACAAGTTTTTGTTTCTCTTAGATGCGTTTAGGATTGCAAAACACCCGAGCAAACATCGCGAGATATATAAATCGGCTATAGCGTTTGCATGCCCAACATGACAAATATTATACTGTCGCGCAACGCGAGATACATCACACACACACACACACACATGTACACATATACGTACACAAACACACGCACGCGCATCACAGAATTCCGTACTTACAACACGGTGTAAGGTGTATGTTATATATAAAATCTATATATAAAAAACAAAGAGAATAAAAAACAAAATCAATGATATATATGTATACAAAAAATACATGTATATGTTACGAGATTAGATTCTATATAAATACATATATATGTATATGCTGTATTTGAACGGTTAAAAAGCAACAATGTTACCATAGCTGTATAGATATTTAAGATCGCTCGTGTGTGCGATCGGAGGCTGGGCCTCTCGCAAAACAAAAACCAAAAAAAAAAAAAAAAAAAAAGAAAAAAGTCTATGTCTGGAAAATAACGGCGAACGTGAGTGCATATATCCCTGCGAGCGATCATACTCATGTGCAGACACGCGCGCGTACATACAACCACGCGCAAAGGAAAGAGAGAGAGAGAGCGGGGTAATGTGCACATGCGGTCGCGGTTGCATACATATGTTTGATGTATGTTTTAATGTATGAACGAGAATATAATGGCGCGGTTGGTGATAATTCTCGGTCGCCCTGTTGCAGACTTGCGGTGGTGGGTAAAAGGCGGAAGTCGAAATAGGCGCGTGTGACGCATCGTGAATATAAGAGTGAACTTTTGTGTCAATCTGTGTCAATCTCTCTTTTAAACCGATGTACCGATGAAATATTCCGGAAATAAAGTTTAATCGTTTTCAAGACTCGTTAATTAATTACTATCGACAACCGTCCCGGTTAAAAAGTTATTAAAGTACGTCTGCACCACGTTCCACCTGGGCATTATGAGCTCGTATTATTGATCCAAGTTAAGAGAATCGCGATTTTCATCAGACGAGCTCCGCACGTCTCGCATAAGCACGCCGCGCGAAAAATTTGAAAGACGTATATGTGTATAAAAGTATATGCATATATATTATATATATATAAGTATATATATATATATATATATAATATAATATAGAAAAACTTTGGAGCACACAAGAGAGTAGCTGGAAGTGTTATATGTGGGCAGTGTTCAAAATACGGCATTCGCAAATATCCAATCAAGGTAAGAGCTCACGCGAGTATATATTCCTGGAAATCCAGGCTCACCGCAGCGAATTCCCCAAGATACAATTCCTATGTTGACCCATCTGCCGTTGGCGAGTTGATGCAGCAACGGACCGCCCGAGTCACCCTGAAGGGAAGAGCAGTTTACCGAGATTAATAATACGTAAATATGTACGTGTACATGTTTCTCAACGTCCATTAAGCTCCGTTAAAAATTAATAAATCTCATAAAACACGAAGAAGAATTATTTAGAGAAGATAGTTTGAAGATGGCCTCAAAACTGTAACTTCAGCGCTTTGGCAATACGATTAAATACTCCGTTTAATACTTAGCTGAATAAATTATCAACTCACTTGACAGGCGTCGCGACCTCCTTCATAAGCGCCGGCGCACAAAGTAGTGTTCGGAATCCGTTGCGTGAAGCTGCGAATACATTGCTCTTGAGGCCACACCGGCAATGAAACTTCCATCAGCACTGTGCTAGCAGGTCCCCCGTAATACTGCGTGCCCCAACCTGGCGAGAAATGTAAAATTGTAAGAGAACAATTCTATTTTTTTTTAACACATTTCATTAAACTGTTTTTTAATTTTTCTTCTCGCTCACCGGTAACGACCGCGATTTTATCGTCGTACGAGTATTGGACAGGAGGAAGACAGATGGGCCAAATGTAGCTGTTGAATACGGTAGGTCGGTGAATTTTAATAATAGCGATGTCGTTTTCGTAAGTGTTCAGCTTGAAGCTTCTGTGCATTCGTATCTCCGTCACCGCGAAGTCCAGCGCTCGCGTCTCCTCGGATTTGGTGAAATCGTACTCGCCGAGTCTCACCGTGATGTCGCGCGGGGTATATCTGAAAAGACACGAGGCGCGCACACACACGGAATAACTGTAATTTATCAGTCGCATCGTGTAACTGTTTATTTTCTGATCGCGACAAACGAATCCCGCGCGTGTATTACGTAGTCAGAGAGGCTCGGAGCTCATAGATACAAATATATACATATATATATATACGTACCGAAAACGGTACATTATAAAGTCTAAGCGTGGTCACGCTTACAAATACGATCTCCGCAAGAATATATGAATACGTCGTGTCCGAAACCGTTACTTGCAATACTACGAAATGTCAAGAATAATTTTGTATTCTCTTTGTTTCATATTATTTTCACGTTGTAATTATAATTGACTCATGTTTATTTGTTTGATTCTTCAGAGCTGTTATTTCGAATTCTTATTAATTACATTACACAGAAACATTTTTGATTACCAAACAATTTACCTATAAACGCAGTGTGCGGCAGTAAGAACGTGTCTATCTGTAATTAGCACACCTCCGCAATATTGAATCGAGCCTCGTCTGAGCAAAGCCACCATCCACGGCCATTCCTTGGGATCGGCCGGTTGACCACCCGCAACTCTGGTCTTCATTCTTGCGGTCATGCCACATCCGCGTTTTTGTGATTTTCTCGTTTCCTCCTTTTTTGTCTGCGTTGAAGTGCCGTCCTTCCGTAAAATTGTGTCATCCTTGTCGTCGGCAGATGGCTCACTCGCCTCGTCGTTTTCTGACATTTTTTCCCACTCCTCCGTGTTGTTGTCGAGACCTAAGAGAGAAACGTACGATATGTACACGGTACGTTGCACTTTCTGCGCGCAAACATATGCGGACGGTACTCGACGGGTCATTGAGATTTATCAAGAAAGTGCATGTCTGTAGCGCTTTTCCTTGCATGCCAGATATGCACACATACGCGTGTTATATACGTCGATCGATGGAACATTCGTGTGCAGTTGCATTTGCTCTGCGAGTAGTTCGTATAAAAATGTAAAAATGCAAAAATATTTTATAAGCTTCAAGTTACTTCTTTTAGGAAAAAAACGTAGTTCAAATAATATTAATTTATTAAAATTGTTGCAGAGAAATAATTGTTTTTTAAATTCAAATAATCAGGCTTGTACGAACTCGCTATCATCGGTAACATGCTGGCTAAATCGTCATTAAAAGCTTTATTTGATCGAGCTGTCGCGACACTATCCGGACAACACACGCCAACGTACCTACGGATTAAAAAAAAAAAAAAAAACGTTAATAAATATAGAACAATTGGTGCGTGAAGAGCAATATCGTAACTCACGTCTGCTCGATTATGCACATGTAATTCGCGAATCGCTCAAAGTTCGAGCGGAATTCCTCAAGGACGCATCCACTAAAGTGTACGCAGTGACCGCTCTGATTGCCCGGCGCGATGCAAGCTTGATATTTTTTCTAGAAAAAACAAATAAAAGCTCGCTGTCTGACGAAATTTAACAAAATTCTCTTCGTAAATTTCTATTATAATAACGAATATTTTATTGTAATAATCTCGGCAAAAACGCGCGTACCTGTTTGCTCACAGTTCCGGGACCTAAACTGACAAATCGTTTGTGTCGAAGCCACGGATATAGTTCATACACATCAGGAAATCGAGATGTATAGTTGCGACGAAGATGTGTCTTCCATTCCGGATTCTCGGAAGTCTTCGTCGGATCTAAGAAATAGATTACACATGTATTCACGATCACGCTGCATGTAGTAAATAAGTAGACATGTGTGTGAAAATTTAATGAGAACCATGTCGAGAACGGAACTGGCGAAATACACACACCACATCTCGGTGTAACATCATTTGATTATTTCCGCTGAAAAGAGGTATGTATCCCGTGACTTTTGAAACCGAGATTCGATTTGTTATTCAACCGCGACACGTCGCTTAATATTATGCCTGTTTGGGATTGTACATTTAAATTTTATACGCTGAAAAATATTGCGGTCAAGAGAAGTGCACATATCTTAATGTCATGCTGAGGCTTAAGTTTCTCTTTTAAATGTAGGATATAAAATAATGCCACAAGAGACCTGTTACAATTTGTAAATAATATTTTTTACAAATATGCGTAAAAGAAAAACAAAAAATATTTATAGTTAGTATTAAAAAAAATTAATATGTTAAATATTAATATGTTACAAAAGATTTTTTAATATAAATCTACATATGTAACATACATATAATTTGATTTTTTTTATATTAATTATAAGTATTTTGCCGTTAATTTGCTATTAATTTTGCTATTAATTATAAGTATTTCTGTACGTTACATATTCGCGTAAAACAATATCGTAGTCGTCGTTTAAAACGCGTCACTAAGTTAACTCAGTAGTTTCGATAAATTTTATTTGCAATATATAATATTGCTAATTTTACGTATATACAGAAGATTTGAAACAGTGTAATTTAACAGTGTACTTTAATAATACTCACTTGTAGCATTGGAATTGGTGGGAAGACAATATTGAAAAATACACAGAAAAGACAACAACACAAATTGACAGCTAGTAGTGAACGTCCACATTTTAAATTAATCAGTTCTCATTGAATGACAATAGCCAGGTCGCGATGACTGTTTAGCAAAGCAAACCTCGACAACCAAGAAGACAATGACTTCGAAATACGCAAAACCTTCGCTTATATACACACACGCCTGTACTATATGCAACCTTGTGAGCATTTCTTCAAGCTAGATGCCTTCCATTAGGCACTTGTGATACTTGTGTCGTAGAGTGTAGAACAAAGCTATTCTCATTGATTAATAATTGCTATTTATTCAACTTGCAGTAAATTAATTATTCTATTAACATTGATGTGTATATGTATATTTTAAAAGTAATATTTTATTTAAAAAAAAATAGGCAGCAATAAAAAAGTACGCAATAAAAAAAATCACTTCTTTAAATTATATAAAGTTTGAAAAAAGTTTACTTAACAATTTATTTGTCACTTATCGGTATAAAACACTTGTTACGTAAACTACTGCCGTGTTAAATTACCTAAAAAGACACTCACACTCGGTGCGTGTGACAGCGTACCACTTGATGTGACATTGCTTTCAGCTCCGATCGTCCGATAAATTCGCTACGTTAACGCCGCGTAATTGGCACAAAGACTGGCACCGCTTCGGGAACCGATTAGTGGAAGTGAAGACGATAGAAGGAAATTACATGCGACCTGTCCGAACAAAGGTTAATTCATTCATGCGAATACTCGGCCCGCGCACTTGTCGAAGCGACGAGTAATGGACGACCGGTAACTCGAGAAATATTCGATTCCATTTGACATTTCATTAAACGGTCGACAGGCGAACACCGCCTGATCATGGTGAGATCGCAAGAGAGATTCTCACTGACCAAGAGAAAAACAGCGAATGTCTAGAGAAGAAAAAAAAAACAAATCAAGAACAAAAACTTAGTGTAAACGAAAAAAACTTGAGCAAGCGCGAAAGAAAATCGCAAGAGAGAGAAAGACTCTTTTTCTTTCTATTTCTCTCTTTTTCTTTGTTAATAGTCTATAAATCAGTAATTTTTCCATTTGCATCGTCGTCACAGTCACGTAAGAAGAAGGAATTTACATACGAATTATACTGAATATAAATTCTTTCGTTTGAAATATTAGAAACGCAGCAAGTCCAAAACGTATTACGTCTATGCGCGACTGTAAGTGTTATAACGATGAAATATAATGTTGATCATTTTCGCTTCGAAAATCCATGCGAAAGCGGCAATCGGGAAAGTGCGATAAAAGTTGACTCGACTACCTCATAAATTAACAAAATGTCGAAGCGATAACGCCGACCATAATTCGCGACGAATTACGCGACGCAAAAAACAGCTAATGTGTCGCGTCGTCGCGCGCTTCGAAGTGGCGTAATTGGTATGTACAGGGTAGAAATTAAGGTGGTAATTTGCGTACATTAAGTGAAACTCCGTATTAGGAAGGCCACGAAAAGACTTGTTTGGAATAACGTTTCGCGACGGAACCGTATCGGATTATTGCCTTGTATTTTTGTGCGTGTTTTCCGCAAAAGCGACGTTTAAATTACGATACTATAAAGTCCGCGCAGAAGAACGCGATGATAAAATCGTTGAAAATACAACCAAATGCACGTAACTGCACCTTTCGATAACAGTGACAACGTTAATAAGCGTTAATAAGCGTCGGAGAGAAAGAGAGAGAGAGAGAGAAAGCGGTATCGGTTGCGATTATCGGTCGCGCGTCACAGTCAATAAACGCGAACGTACTCGCAACAAATGACACACAAACCAAATATCTTTTCATTTTATTACAGAAATTTAAATACTAAAGACAATTGATTTGTTTGCCGAAGTTACACTTTCTCTCATTTGGCAAAAACGAAAAGAGGAGATGTAACGTTTGCCGTACGAGCGCAGAAATTCACATTTCAAAAGATTGCTCCTGAAAAAAAATCCGCGAGGCCGGTGATTCTTTGCGAAAAAGAAAAAAAATTTCTCCATTCGGATTTCTATTCGTAGATCGGGAGTTTGCCAGAGCTCGCGCGCGTTTCTACTGCTTCTCATTTTGTCTGTGAAGTTTCCGCACAAGAGGGTCTCTTGCGGCTGGTCACCGGCTTCCCGACAAATTAGAAACGCCCCCGGCGCAAAGGGTTTTACCTCGCCAAGCTTTTCGACTCGCGGGAGTCATGCATTCTAATGATTTACTTCATCTCCGAACTTTATAAGCACGACGTATCTAAAGGTGACCATGATTTTCCATCGCCCATGTCAGAACACTCCACTTTTAATGAGCAAAAATGAAAAATTAAAAAAACATAGAAGAGAGATATTCTTGTACTTCTACGCGTATTTTTATTGTTGCACGTGTACAAAAGGTTTGTATAAAAAATTAAGGACCGAAAATAAAAAACCGAAACAGTACCGATAAAATTGGCGGCACGGATTGGCGAACTTAACCCTTGCGTAAACTTCACTCGTGTTCGACAAGCAACAACCTCTCGCGCGATCGTTATTCTCCATTCGCCGATTACTCGGGAGAACACTCGGATAGATTAAAGACAGTGGTTTTACTTCTCGGAAAAACATGCTTAGCTTACGGCAAGAGAGGCACGTCGCTGTTGTTTCAGGTGAAGGATAGTTATTTCGTGTGTGTAGCTCGGGGATACGCGCGCGCTGTGTTCCTCGCGCTAGCATAAACTACCTGAGCGCGCACCGGTTCTTCCACTTTTAAGAAGCGAATCGCTTTGAACGCGCGTGATTCGACGTTCATTCATATTTTTCTCTACGTGATAAAAATTGAAAAATATTATAATTTAAAATTGCAAATATTATTAATTATTATGAGAGAGAGAGAGAGAAAAGTTTTAAAAATCAAATTGTTCAATAGCACGATATAAAACAGTGAATATTTTTTTTGGTGCTTTACGCTCGTTACAAAAATAAATTTCAAAGAGTTTCTTCGAAAACTCGATATCAAGTGTATCGATGCATTTTGAACTGTGTAGCTCTTTTATCCCGCAGAGTAATCGGGTTTCACAAGAGGCGAGCTCAATGATGTTCGACGACCCCTACCATTTTACGCCCACGTGTTTCGTGGTCGCGGTCACGCGTAGACAATGATCCCGCATCCATTAACAAGAAAAAAGCGATCTCTCTCACGTACCGAAACTTATGTGGGAGTATCCCTTCTTCCCTGAGGTGGTTACGAAGTCTCGTGTTACGTGTATTCCTTTTGTGCAGCATGTAAATTTACCGGCAACGCGAGAGACGGAAAAGAAAATTGGAAGAAAACGTTTGCAATCTCCAGAAAACTTGATGCTCCTAAAACGGCGTGACTTTTGTTTTTTTTTCTACGTTGAATAATAGAGTTATTGTAAAACCGCGCGCAAACGTGAATATAAACTTCTAACTGCGGTCAATGTTTTCTTTTTACTTTTTCTGATCTTCAAAATTTTATGTCTTCAACTGCGCAATTTGTATTTGTTTGTTTAAAAAGGGAGAAAGAGAGAGAGAGAGAGAAAGGAAGAGAATTTAGAAAATTTATCTGCATAAACGAAGTGACGAAAAACCACGACGCACGTTATTTCGCAGAAATGGGACGCGGAAAAGAACAAATAATGTAGTATTCCCGCACTCTTTAGTGGCTTTTACGAGCGCGTAAAAAAAAAAAAAAAAAAATAGAATAATAAATTTCACTAAAAACTAAAATGTTCTCACACAGCAAACCGCGGAAATATCAGTGATACAAATGTGATACGTATTCTTTTTTTTTATTGATAAACACATTTATTTATATTTTTATGAGTGTATGTGAGTTGATTGCGATACTTTTATTGCCAGATGCATAGTACTTCAGGACGTCGTATTGCGTGACAATATATATGCACTTTGTGTGTTTATATTCCCGTATACACGTATATATGTTCTGTATGCGCGAGAGCGCGAATGCTTATTCATGCTTCGAAAATGTTTCTAGTTGTGCAATATAAATGATTTTTTATTCAAACTGTTTTTTTTTTTTTTTTTCAACTTTATGCTAGTTTCTGATTTATATCTTATTGTTTAGAGACAAACTCTTTTATTTCGGCAAGTTTATGTTAATAAAAAGAAAACAGAGGAACAAAAAATAAAAGTACAATATCGCAAAATGTAGACAAGAAACAAATGGTCGCAACACATTTTGTCGATGTACTTATTTATTCAGCTGGATATACGTACATAAAATAAAGTTGTAACGTGCATAACAGGATATATCCTGTAGATATTAAAGTAATTCATAAGAGATAGCAAATGTTGTGGTTATAAACTTTATAGAATAAAAAGCGAGAGGGACACGGTAACTACGGATTGTGTGTGTCCGCTTGTTTCTATTCGTCCTGAATGAGTTGAGGAGTTGCGCCTGGAGTTGCGAGATCCAACTTCCAGCTAAATTTCTTGGTTGTTTTAGTTTTTGGATTGTATAAAGTTTCATTGTGATAAAGAACATTTCCTCTGTAATACTCCTCGATATTGCGGACATAAGGTTCTCCGTCTGGCGTTCGACCGGAAAGAACCGATTTTGTTACACCATTTCCAGAATTGAAGATCATGGTATTGCCACTTGATATTATATGTCCTTGCGCATCTGTAAACAAATGATGGCACATACGCAATTATATATATTCGATTTTTTTGCTACGTTAGTTAGCGTAAACAATCAGCGTAAACAATAAACTTGCACAAGTTAACGTGTATTTGTTTTTTTTTTTTTTTAGAATAATGGATATATTTCAAGTTTAGATTAATGTTAACACATTTTCTTAACGCGCGGGATTTTGAAAAATGATTAATAGATCTTAAATACCGATAGATCTTAAATACCAACCGCGCTCGATCCTCTAAGTGGATGGAAGTCAAGTTACATATTGACTATATTATAACTTATCAATAATGCGATTCGATACGCTAAAAGATATAGGTAAACGTTTCGCAGAGAATTAAAATCAATGTCGCGAATTAACTTCGATCAAAGAAAAAAAATAAAAATAACTTCAGCTACCTTGAGACTAGGAGAGAGAATGCACGTTTTACTCTCCTGTACCTTGGACGATAGTGAAAGGAGTCTGCGCGGCGCGCGAGATGCAATTTTCTGGTATTTTCGAATTACCTTTAATTCGATTAAATCGTATGAGTGATTTACACCTCGATAATATTGCGCACCTGCATCCACGCTTAACCTCGTAAACGAGAACTCGTACGTTCTCTCGGTTTAAATAAGTTGTAAACTTTACAATCGTGTTTATTTTCGCGCGTTTAATATTGTTAAATATCAATTAGGTTGCTTCAACCGAATGATTGTTTATTTTGATTACCTTTCGGCAAATTTTCAATCGCTCTGTTAGCTTGTTCGATTGCAGGTTGCACTACGTTCGTATGCAAATTACGAGTGAAACTTTGAACTTGGCTGTTAATATCTTGGGTCATCCGATTGATGTCGCGCGACAAGTCGCTCGCCCAATCTGCGCCGCTTCCTCTCATGCTGCAACAAAATTGTGCGGAAAGATGATCAGAAAAACAACGGATATCATACACGCACCTGACTAATTATAGACTTTATTGTGCGACACATTCGCGCGCTGTAACCGCGTCGCGAGCAATAGTTTTCTACGGTGCTGTGCAATAGATGATTCATGCGCGCTTATCGTGACTAAAAGCACATATATCAAAACCGGTAAACATTTGACACTTTCGACGTGGAACCTGAGCATATGTTATGAAATTTTTCAGAATTGTATTCTTCTCTATATCCGGAATCCAAAATTCGGAAATAATTCCGAACTTTGTTGTTTATTTTTTTTTAAGAGAAAAAAATGGTTAAAAATACACGGAAAAAGTCATATACCAAAATTTGTCAAATCGTCTCGCGAACAATGGATGTACATTGTGAAATTTCAGAAATCTGCACAGTCAAAATTGATCGCCACTTGATAATTGCTCGATCGATGTATCTGAATGCGATTGTTAATATAAGGAAACTTACAAATAAAAGAAGAGAAAACCAAGATGCGTCATTAGACTGACCTGACAATTATCAACAGCGTACTAATCAGCAAGACGCTGATATTTCTTGTCATTTTTGTACGCGCGTTCTTCTCTGTGCAAATTTACTGGAGTCGCGAGACAAGAGTGTGGAAGTAAAGCACTTTTCTTCAATCGACACCGAGCTCCGGCGTAAGATCCGGTTAGATCGCAACGCGTGGTAATCGCACACGTCTTGTTTCTAGTGCGCACCAAGAACCGGCAAGGAATATTACACTAGCGCTACTGACGTCTCGCCGTGCCCCACTGCGTTTCTTCTCTCCGTGCGCGCTTGCACGAACGTTCTCTCTCTCGGTCACGATATTATCGAAGTCGTTAGTTACATGTATATGTATTCATGACAGCACGTTTATAAAAGAAATGTAAGCAAAGTCTTCGTGGAAGAAGTGTCATAGTTTGCTAGATAACGTCTCAAACACGTAGAAAGTTTAATAATAAGACGGAAAATCATTAACACAAGATAACAAAAGTTAAAGTAAAATTTTCTCAAGTCTGTTTAGCAAATCTACAACAACTCGAAGTCGACAAAAAATATAAGTAAAACTTATACACGTGTAACACTTTGTTTCTAGAAATCTGTTTTTAACGCTGTAGTTTTATACAATTGCGCATAGTTTCTAATGTTGTAAAATATAACGTAACTAATGTCGCGACGTTTAATTATATCATTGTCGTGTATAATACATGTCGCATTTTAGATTTTTAGATTGTGACATCCATTGCAAAAATAACAATCACGAAGCATGCAGTCTTCTCGACGAATTTCTCGCACGTCGTATAATGTACGTCGTATCAATCATTTTCACGATCAGATATTCGCTCGCGGCTTGAACGCATAACTAATAACGCGTGGAGTCGAGTTGACATAAATCGCATATATCAAATTTCTCCCGAATTTCGCAGCTCTCACCTCGATGATCGCGAAAACATCGCGCGCGTGCGTCGAGTAAAATTCAAACAGGCTTTAAAAAATATTTTTAGATCAAGGAGACAGAGAGAGAGAGAGAAAGAGAGAGAGAGAGAGAGAGAGAGAGAGAGAGAGAGGAGCTTTAGACAATTTTGTTTGTTTGTTTGTTTGTGAATCTAGCGATCGTAAACTTGTTTGGATTTTACGTCCGGTCTAGTTTCGGCTAACTATCGAAAAAACGTTGATCCCTTTAGTTTTATTTTTCACCGTCCTCGACCTTGCAAATGCGGCCTTCTCTGTAATTATTTCTCTCTTATACACGCATACACGTGCACACATACATATACACACACACACACACACACATCTTGTCTTTCTTTCGTTCCTTTTTCAACACGGGCGGGCTGCCCGTTTCACATCGCGTCTCGAAGAGATTCGAAGAATCACGCCGGAGCTCCAATAAATATAAATCTTCCCATTACGTAAAGCTGTCACTGTCAACGACAGACACGATATTTCTGAATTGACAATAATATATTAAATCAGTCAATTTGCATCTTTAGCACCGCCAGATCATGTTAGCTTCGATTTTCAAATTAAATTTAAATGTCTTATTGGATTTCGCGTTACGATATTTAGAATTATTACCAGTAGTAGAAATTCGGTGAAATCACATGTCGTTGGTGAAAATATCGCGAGACGAGATCATTCTCGGCGAGATTATGACATAGCATAATCTGCTGCGTAAGCAAAACGAGCACCTATATGTTTGTCGACGTTCGTTATGTGTGCGTGTCGGAACGGGCCACGGTTTTGCTGCTGATAAGAGGCCGTAAGGTCATCTCTTTCACAGTGAGCCGCTTAATACGAGAAGCGCAGTAATGACCGCCGGCTTTCGGGATAAAACCGGCGTGAAAAGAACGGCTCTTAAATATGCACCCGCGCAACCGTTTCGCGAATACTAATTGTACGCGATCTCAATCTATTTGGTCTACTCCGCGCTCTTTATTACAGTTACGTAAACGGAGCTACTACGTGTAGAAATGCGCGTAATTAAGAGCTATTGATTTTGAAGAGTAAGAATAGAACATACGTCATAAGCTTTTATTCAAGATAGAGCGCGACGTTTTTCTTTTGCGTTTGAAGAAAGTTATTGGAATAATATTTTTAAAAATATTTTTATTTGTTTAGCTGTTTTTTTTATTGTTTATACGTGATATCAATAATCATTGTATTATTTTTATATTATTCTACGATGTCAAAGATATTTGATAGTTTCTCACAATCGCGTTACCGCTCGCAAATTGCACGATATGCAAAACCCGAATTATTTAAATGGCACTCGAGAAGGCATTTAAAACTGATGCTACGTTTCTCGTTCACGTCGAAATTTTCGCCATGCTAATGCCGTTCCGAATCTTTTTGATCGTCAAAGAATAAATTTTCTCGATAATCTCTCAAAGCGATTGCTTGCGTCTCAAACGTTGTTGTTACAAAAGTCAAAAGGGAGAAGGCTCGCGGGAGAACGTATAAAAGATGCAATTAATTACAAATGCCGATGAGTAATCAACTTATACAAATGTAAGAAATGAGTCAGGAATAAGACCGCCACTTTGTGATTCGCGATAAAGTCATTTAGCGGTTCATTATAAGTGTACTTCGTATTGGAGAAAATCAATTCGCGTTGGAAAATTTTACGATACCTACCTACTGCAAAACTCAATATAGACGAGTTTGTCGACTTTGACGCAACGCTTTCTTTAGATCCGTATAATTACGCGTATGGCGAGCTCTTAATTGATTCGTTGCGGTGTAAGTCCCGGTCATACGGAGATGTACAAGGTGCATCCCACGGGGCGTGATTGCAATTTACGCCTCGAGAGAAAGTAGACTAACTGCGTATAGCGCAGTTCGCAGCCTCGCAGGAATTCAGCCGCACTAAGACTCACCTTTTCTCAGAAATTGCAATCCGCGCGAGAGAAAAAAATATAAACTTTTTTTCTCGCCAACTATTTTTTTTTTTTTTTCAACTTAGATCTAATTGAGTAAATAAATAAAAAAAATAGTTCTGTAGAAAAACTATTCTTTAATTAGCCTTGATAAGAGAGAACTCTAGAAAAAGAAAATTTGGGTTGGACTTTTTTACGCTGATTTTTTTCGCGCTTTGAAGATCGTGAATTTTCTTCACGACGTATCGACAAGTCGCATCGGTGCCTCGCGTGTGTGGTTTTTGAGAACACGTGTGAATAAAGTGAAAAAAAATCTTTCGAAAATATCGTAATCGTCGGCCGAACACACTTGACACCGGGAGTACGATATATATTTCGAGCTCAAAATAGCGCACCGGCCTGTGCATCTGGCCGCAGCCGGATCGAAGAGACGGTAGAATCGACGGGGGATCCCGGGAGAAAAGATCGGGATGTAGGAGGATGTTGTTGTTGACCCATCGGGCCGAGAACAGGTTTCGAATTCGGATTATACTCTACCCGAAACCGCTTCGCTTTGCACGCACTACACGCACGTAGCCGTTCCTTTTACAATCGTTCCCACACAATTACACAAAGATATTTGTATACGTGTGCGTAGGTGTGTGTGTGTGTGTGTGTACGCGCGCACTGGTTCTTCTCCTCCCACAAACACAATCTTCCCGTGTAAAGTAAAAGCTTTCCTCTCTGTGGCTCCGATTCTCCTTCTTCGTCCTTGAACCTCCTCTGCCCCGTCTCTGCCCCGAGGTTGCTCACGCGAGAGAGCTACGTTCAAGAGAGTGCCTCCTCTCTACGCGCGGTAGAGAAGGAGAAAAAAAAACCTTCCACGAATAATATATATTCATCTTCTACTCTACCGGAGCGGGAGCAGGTAGCGGGGAACCTAGATCGTAAACGCGTAATCATCCTGTTCTCGAAATAAGACGCGCAAGGATCACCGGAGAGAAGAACGAGAGGAAAGAGAAAGATGTGGAAAAGAGAAGATAGAAGCCGTAGTTTTTCTTGCTGCTCCTTCCCGTTCCCTTCCTTCGATCGGGAGTCCAGTTCGAACTGATTCCAGTTCGCGAAGGGTTATCGTCCTTGAGGCAAGCCTTGGGACGCGACGTACTTCGTCACGGATGACAGGTCCCTTATATCGCTCCCGTTTACCAACAACGAGTAGATAGCAGAGAAAACGTGCTCGAGATCTCTCGAACGTCGTACGAAATCCGAAAGTAATTTTCCAGTTGACGAACGCGAAAATACGTAAGATGTAAAACTAATATTTTCTATATATTTCACGATGCTTCTTTCTCTTTTATACAAATTTTGAATTGATGTTTTTTTTCTTCACGATTCGGTCTACAAAAACTCTCTCCGTCTCTTCTTCCCTCGAGTTTTAAATAAAAGAGAGATTTTTTTATCGTTAGCGTATTTTTTTTTTAGTTTTATTTATTTTTGTTTTGCAAATTTTTTTGCCGGCATCTATCTTTGTTATTTTATCTTCTAGATAAATAATCTCTCTCGATAGTTATGAACGTTCATGTAATTTATACGCGAAAACACGCAATTGTATTCGCGAATTTGTGTTTGCACGATTCTAAATCAGTGATTGAAATAAAATGGGAATTTTTTTCAACGGTAAAGACAACATAATTCGGAGACTTCGTTTCTTGGCATCATTAATTGTACAAGTGTCTTTTAGTATGGCACGGACAACCAGATAAATACGCGACGAGGAGACGAGAAGAAAGTTAGATCTCAGCCGCACTCTGTCCTTTTAAAAGGGATTCGTGCGCGGTGACGACGCTTCTGCATCGCGTACGCACTTCGGTTCATTTCTCCTTCCCTCTAAATAGGAATATCTAACGGTGCCCTGCGTACATATGTATGCATTAGAAATTGTTTACGATTATTACGCGCAGGATCTCCCGTAGAGTAAATGGAAGTTCGAATAACCAGGATTTTTAAACTCTGACGAGAAGAACGTGTGAATATGTCTTCCCGCTTCTTCTGTCAAACGGTACCTGAAAGATAAGTCGTATACGTCTACGATATTATGATGTTACAGTCCATAAAATATTATTTTACTTTTGACAGAGTTTTAATTGCGGCAAAAAAGCGAAGGCAGCTTATTTGAAGTCCGGAAATGGTGTAAGACTTTATTCGCACGGAAATGTGAATTTTAGTTTTACAATACAATTTTTATTAACATTTGTACTAACGTTGTACGTCGCTTTTTGTATTTTTAATTGCGCGTTTATGTGTTATATTCTCAAAGTTTTTTATTTGTATATATAATGTATACAAAATATTTTTTCTCTTCTATATTCTTTTACTTTTCTCTTGGATTATGTAAAAAATTATAAAAAGCACAAAAGAACACGAGCACGAATAACGCGATGTTACGTCTCTTGTATTTTAATTATCCATTTGTTCAAGGAATTTAATTTTTATCTGCGAGAAACTGGCGTTGTCTGTGTTTATAAATGTCTCTATCTCTCGCTCTCGTTCGCTTTCGAACGGTGCCGCGTCGCAAGTGGCGCTAACTTCGCGGTGACTGCGCGAACTTTCAAACTGGCTTCCACCACCGCCGTAGCGTTCAGTCGCGCGAGAGCGAGAGGGACGGAAGTGTTATGTGGACTATACGTAGCCGCGTCCTTTTGAGTCTTGCGCTCAGTCAGCGTTTAGCTGTCACGGCTTCGCTTTAAGAGAGATTCCGTTTCATCGTTTTTCATCTTCCCCGCGATAGTGTAAACAAATCCGCGTTGCACGTTACGCGACAAACGCGTACTTTAGCGACGCGACATTTCTATATCTCGCATCTCGGTGTGATTCGATTATCTCGTTTATATCCTCGCGTGTTTGTTCGCGTCTCGTCGCTCGCGATTTTCATTGAGAACAAACGTCTCTGCATGGATATCAGACACGGTTCGGAGCAGTGACACTACGGGTTTCGTTTTTTTTTTCTTATATCAGTCGGTTTACGGTACATACGCATGAATACCATCCGGAGAGGACTTGATTACATAAATTCCAAAGAACTCGGTGGTGGTAATGCGTCGAGCTGAGAGAATCAGTGTTATGGAACTGCAGGATTGTTAATTAACGGTTCTTCTTTCGGAGCCGGTGAGTAAATCACGCAATCGATTCGACAAACGCCGCGCTGGTTTTCGTGATCATTAGCGCGGCTATTGTGACAGAGAGAATGAATCGTTTCTCTTTCTTCGCGCGGGGGCAGAGAACGATCTCGGGTCCGAGATTAATGAAACGCACGTCCGCGCACGTGCGCGTAATACCGCGATCGAGCGTCGGTGATTTCGTGCTCCGAAATCACGCGCGCCCCTGGGGCGGCCATGATGCCATTGTTTGTCGGGAGGGTTAAAAGTGGGCGCGAATTTTCAGACGTTCTTTATTATGATTAATCGTATTCTCGATGCGAATCGGGAATCGAAACTTTTCTCGTTTTTCACACTCGCGACGTAATAAAGCACATTTTACGATAAATAATTTAGTAATTAGCAATAATTTGTTATCGAGTTACTTTTGTACGATACGCTCACAATCGCGGTCGATACTTTGTTTGCAAGCGTGAAAACAAGATATCATATTTGCGCTGAAAGTAAATATGATAAACAACCCGTATTTTCGCACAAGAATGACAGAGAATATTCTTTGTTACAACTTAAATTATAATATGTTGATATTTGCTATTGATCCTTTCAAACGTCCCTCGTGGTAATAAAATATGTGTTATTACTTAAATTATATGTCATTCGAAACCAAAAGCGTGTTAATACAATCTTATTAGTATTAATTATTCCCTGTGCGAATATCGATAATAACAGTAATGGCAAATTTGTAATGCTATTATCAACTTGTCTGCGTAATATTAATAATAAATAACACACACACACACACACACACACACACACACACACACACACGTTTATATTTAACAGTTTTGCACCTACAATTAGAGACGTATTCGCGCTAACACGTACAAACACAAAACGTGAGATGAGAAAAAAAAGACAATAAAAAAAAGTCGTCTCCATGTCTCATCACTCAGAGACGCGTTTGTGTTCCTTCAACGCTGTTCTTGAGTAAATATTCGGAAGAAGAGACGAAGAGTAGACCGTTTTTACATACGCGCGTCGTATCTTTCATTAACGCGCTTTTTACATCCTTCGACGCCTCGCCGTTCACGTCCCGCGCGCGAGATTCTAATTTCATATCTGGTGTCCAGAAATATTACGGATCCTCGCTCTTTATGATATCTCGCGAGAAAGAGAAAAAGAAATCCGCGCACAGGTTCTGACATTTAACGATTCGATCAGTGTGACTCTCATCACTATATTAAGTCACTGTTTTCTCTCTCTCTTAATCTCTGTCTCTCTCGCTCTCTCGTCTTTCTTTCTTTCTCTCGTTCTTTTTTCAACGAAGTCAGACCGCCTTCGTAATACAAATCACGAACACAAGTCATATAATCCCAAGAACAGATCGGTAATAAACGAGAAGACCAGCAGTATATATTTCCTTACTACCGAGAGGCGTGGTGATTAGCACGAATAGTAATAATTTCACTTAGTTAAGCGTATTTGTGACGGTCGATACCACTGTTTGTGTGTGTGTGTGTGTGTGTGTGTTAGTCGTGAATACGTACTTGTGTTTTCGAAGCACGCGGTATAGAAGGATGTGCTACGCGCGCGCGTAGTATTCTCCGAGCGTGCGATCGTGTCTCCCGAAGATCAACGAACGTAGCTGAATGAATAAATAGTATCGTAATTATGACGTTCTATCCCTTTTTTTCTTACGACACTCGTATCTTGCTCACGCTATCGCTGGTGTCTGATATATGTCATAGGAGTATGAACGTTGAATAACAAGGTGTGTGTGTGTATCGGTTTTTATTTATACTTGAGACTTGACTTATCTTTAAGATAAGCGATTATTTTTCATTGTAGCAAATTTACTACGTATAAAATTCATACGTGAATATCGCGTTGTATCATACTTTGTAAATGGCAGAATGTTGCATCACCACATTGTGTGGTATAATAATATGATAACTACGATTATTATATAATTAAGCTTTTGAGTGAATAATAAGGTACAGAACTCTGTTGTGTTGCAATGTGATATCGAGATATCGTCGATACGCGTTTCTCGAGAACTGATTGCTGGTCGTTATCGTATCAGTTCCCTGTTCGTATGTAGCGCGATTCTTTCATATACTCGACAATATGAAAAATATATAGCAGTTACTTACGTTTGTAAGCTGTAGATTTTAAATATGTAACGTTAGAATTTTCTCTAAAGCGTTGCACTATGTTTTCTACGTTTATTATTAATCGCACATATTTATACATATTCCAGCGCTCTGCTATAGAGCGTTGCGATCAATCAATACGAAGAAACCGTACGAAGACGTAAACTCTTGCACGACCTATAAAAATTTATATAAAAGTTTCGGGACGCGACTGCTCCGTCAGGGCATGAATAATTTATTGAAGCACGTCCCTTGTCGTTTCATGCCTTGAAAAAAGAGAAAGGGAAAAAGCGTGCGAGTGAGAAGAAATCGTCGTGCCGTTTACGATCGAGGGCCTGGATTTGACTTCCCCTTCGTTTGTACCTTCGTGTCGTTGAATAACAATATCAGACGTGGATCGCGCCCGTTAACTATTCGTCGCAAGTTACAAAAACACAGTATAGCGCGTTGCTCAGATCGCTCGACACTCTACACAACGTACATACGTAATAAACTCGATTATTAGTTGCGAAAAAATATACCATATGAAAATATTTTATTAATTAAGTTCGTGAAATATGTACAAGGCGCAAATTATACTTATCGCCTCTCTCTTTCTCCCTCTCTCTTTTTTATCAGATTTTTTAAATCACGCAACCTACAATTATCTTATATTTTTTAATTTTTAAACTGTTTATTTATTCAGAAATGACTGAATAAGAATTTTAACAACCTGTCAAAAAGAAATAGAGTGAAATAATTGAATTAAAATTAAATATATGAAATTAAAATATAATGATATGTGAAACTTTGTTATTTAAATATTTTTTATTGGATTATATATGCTATATATATAAGTAATATTATTTACAGGTGAGACAGGTGATTAAAGGAATTTTAACGATTTAGAGATGAACGAAATTTAACTTTTATTATTTTCGTAATCGAAACAATTTATATTGCTTCTATTGTATGTACACACATACATATATCAAGAGCTTCGCGGGTTTGATTTCGCGTGTGCGCGCGTTCTTGTCGTTTAAAATATTTACATATTAATCTCCGAAGTAATCTTGCGAATGCATACGTCTGATATACACACGGGGCAGATACAATGTGAAGCGGCCTAACGTGAAACCCGCACCGTGAGATACATGCGCAATTCGCGTGCAACGTGTTCGGAACACACCGCACGTCGTGTCGCACTCGAACTGCATGTTGCTTTATAGTATATATCTGGCTGGGGTCTCGATGTAATGGCCTGTCCGTCTGATGGAACACATAACGGCTACGGTGGGCAGAGTGAGATAAAAAACAAGTCATATTTATACCGTTTACTTTGCGCGCTTTATGTTTATATAGACGCGCGCGTATGTCTGCTCGTGTTTTAACGAGGTAACATTTGAAATTTGTTTGAGACGATCGGAGTTTACACAGTTAAAAAAGAAACAACAACCAACTGCGAATAAAAGTCGTCCGTTTGGAAACCGTGTAATTAACCGTGTAAAGGTAGGTCGTAGATTGTTTATGTTTCTGGAATAGATCGTAAATTTTCTCATTAGACTCTCCGATATTATTGAAGATAATTTCACGGTGAAGTTCAACGTCAAAACCGGTCGGCATCTCCGACAATATCACGCGTGCGTAAGTTCCCATCGACGCGTTAATCAGCGGACAAGCGCGCTCATCTCGGAAAAAAGTAACGGTATAAGAGAGCGAAGAGACACCCAGGCGTGGTCTCGAGTTATATGACTGCGTCGAAGAAAGAAATGACTTTCGCAACGTGCCGTTCTCACGACATAAATTAAAATCGGACACAAGTCGGGAGAGGTCTCATCTGATCTACCTCTCCGAGTTTTATGGATCGCTATATAGGCGCGCGTGTGCAACCTGTGACCGTCGCTGATTCTCTCATGGCTCGCGCCGAGCGAATCGATCCCCGAGTAAAACGTTATAGGAGCATTTCGGTATCGTAATAGGATTAAACGAGGTATTAAGCTCGGTATTGAGCTCGAGCTCAACGGGACGGAGAGTTCTCCTTTGAACATTTTCTGTTCCACCTTTTCCCATCGTCTAATACATTAAAAATAACGCGAAAGTAGAAAAGCAGCATCGTTAAAATGTCGTATTACAAATTTTTAATTCCGGATCATTTATATATTACCTGTTAGATTTAATAGTCTGCCAACAAGCCTTTTACAACATAAGTTTAGCGTTCAACTTGCACTAAGATACGGAAAGTGTTTTATAAGTTGATAAAAAGAAAGAACATTTTAATTTTTTAATAGATGTTATATTGAACTGATAATATATATTAATTTTAAAATAAAGCTCTTTTATTTAGCGCTAAATAATTCAAAGTTAAATATATCAGAATTATTATATTAATTAATAATAATTTATTTTTTTTTTTTCTTTTACTCAAAGAGACTCGACAGTCACATTATCTTTCTCGTAAAACTATCTCTTTTTGTGTGTTTCTTTTTACGTATCTTTTGATTTTTTTCTAATTTTATATCTCGCAATTGCGCAATTGAGATTTCGACATTCTGTAGACTTACATCTCGGTACCTTAATCTTTACAAAATGCCTAGCTCGGAGATCGTGTGGAGATCGTAATTACAACCCGCTGCGTTTCCCCCCGGGGTAGGGGAAAATATCTGGTTTCTCGAAATCCTCGAAGCGCAGCGTTGAGCTCTTCCGCGCTCTTCTCTTGCGTAAAGTTCTCTTATCCGCCTCGCCTTAGATTAGACGCGCACGTCCGCTTTAACGGAACGACAAATTCGAGACGATCAAAGGAGAAACCTCAGTGTCGTGACGGGTGTTATATTCCTCGAAGGCGGGAAACGGGGAAGATCTCATATTTGAGCGCGCTCGC